CGTTTGTTTCTGCCTTTCTTTTTAAATTGTCCGCTGGCCACTTTTCTGCATCCTTTTCCAGTGCAATCCCTACTTTATTATGTGAAAGTAGGGCCTTCATCTTCTTCTTCCAAGAATTGAAGTCAATTTTCCGGTCGTACTGCGCAATTTCCTTGCGAGTTGAACTCACAGTGCTCATACTCAGAAAATGGTGTCGATTCGTGATTATTTCTGGTTTGATGATGACCTATAGTCTCCTAAGAACCCTAGAACTCAGAATTTTGATCTCAAACTCAATCTAGGCTCTAAGGTAAAAGGCTCTGATACCACTGTTGTAATAACACTCACTCAAACACAGATTATAACCAATAAAACAGACATTCACAAAAGATCAAAAACACCACAATTTTACCGTGGTTCACCTTTCCAAGATTGGGAAGGCTACGTCCACGTTGAGCTCCAGAAACAAACGAAGCCCACTACACTAATTTGTTGATCAGTTTATAGATTACAGACACAAGATCGAAAGATTCAATCAAACCCGAAATCACCCTATCTGGTAACTAACAGCCTAGGAAACTAAACACTCAGAATCCCTACCCACCGAGAGACAAAACCCCTTAAACAGAATGACAAACCAATCACTTAACCCGTTACACATAATCAAGATTTCAGAACAAACGATGAACCCTAGCAGAGCAAACCTAACACAGTATCAATCGAATAGAATTCTAAAGACTAAAGAGAAAAGTTTGCTTATATATCGTTGACCAGGATAGACTGTACTCAATTATTGGATCTCTTGAAAAACTGATGGTCTAGATTCATTCTTGAAACGACATTGTATTGGTTTAAGTAACACGCCACTGTTTCAGTCTTCACAATTACAAAAGAGAAGGAAGGGTCTTGGACTCAGAGGACAGGGGGGAAACCAATCCAACACCAGGGGAGGAGGGACGACTCGCTTTTCCTATGACTACTAGCAGAGTAGGTCTCCCCGGATCTTCTATTGAGAACAGAACGAGACTTTAACTTATAGCAGGCAAAGGATTTTCTGTAGAACACTACAGCTAAATCAAGGCGAAACCGCGNTAGTCACGGCGCAAATATTTTGAAGATATGGATTAGGTTTTTCAGTATAATATTCACTTTTAATGTAAGATAATGATAATAAATTGAAAATTCTAAATATTTCTGTTTAACGTTTTATAGGAATGAAGTTTTTTTCTTCTTTAAAATGAAATATCGAGAAGATATCTAACATGGCCTCCCAAGAGAAGGATCTAACATAATCTCTCAAGTTCGAGTCTTTTTTGCGGTAAAAGAGAAAGAGCAGGATTTAACATATTCTATCCAGTCCAAGTCCCCACGGTTGCTAATAGGGGTAAATTCTAGAGCTTTTACCCAGTGGTAGTTCTAGGGTCCCGAAAAACTAGTTGAAGTACGCGTAAACTGGCCTGAACACCCCTGATCATACATATATTTGGAAAGAAATAATGTTATAGCACATTATTATGTTATAATTTCAATAATATTATAGTGATTTTTATTTAGAACATTAATATTACATGCTGCTGATAGTGAATTCTAATTGACATACAGTAAAACTCTTCTATAATCATAATGGTGGGATCAAATCAATTTATTATTATAAGAAGATTATAATTTAATAGAGGTGTAATTACAAAAATTATTGTTTTGATTTCTTATTTTATAATTCTCCTTTTAGTAGTATATATTAGGATTTCAATTCATTGTTTTAGTAGTCATTGCTGCAATTAGAAAAGAAGAGAAAGGAAATAATCTTGAGGATGATAGTACGAAATTACAAAAAGTTTCGTACCAAGAAACTCTAAACATGCTTGAGAAGCTAGAAATATTTTAGCTTAAATAAGAAGATGTCTATGTTAGTGAGTTATTATATACTCGTAAGTTAAAAGATGTGATAATAACCGTAAAGTATAAATCATTGTCTCAAACACTTTGGATAAATATTTTTTATTTTATCTTAAACCTTTAATCTAACATAACATATTTTTTTTTTTACAATATACATATAATTATTACTATGTGGAGGCAATTTTTGTAAAACGGGATTTAGAAAAATTATAACTTATTACGATCTAAAGTTTATTCTCATTTATAATTATCCCAAGTTAGGATTAAAATTTTTTATGACTATATAGAGGTTATTCCGATATAGAGTATCACTATATAAAAGTTTTATTGTATTTAAGCAAAATTATCTTGATAATTTTATTATTTTTAGATCGATTTCTCATTTTTAAATGGAAAACAAGGTGAAGTTGAAATTACCTTCCGTGTTGGGATTCTATTCTTAATCGTCAATTTATGAGGAATGGAAGGAAGAATGAGAGTCAAAATCTAAGATGATAGGCGTTAGGGATAGGAATTAATTAAAAACCTCCCCGCCCTGCCCTCACCCTATCAAGACTTAGGAGTCACATTGCTGTTTTACATCTTTGCATGCATCAATTTCTTTGTATAAGAATCCCTCTCACCAAAGGTGCGGTCAACATTATCAGAAGATGAAGATGGCCACCGAATTGGTTTTTGTTGCGTAAAGTTAAAGCATCGAACCAGGTGAAGACGAGGAAATTGCCTCTCGTGTGGGNAGGGTTGCTGCTAGCGCATTCTAAAGAGTATTCCTTCTCTTTGTTCGGAGTAGCTTGATGAGAATAGGCTGCTAGCGAAGCGTCCTTATGCGAGCAAGCTGTAGAGAAGGAGTGGCTGTCGGGGGCAGTTACGACTGATCGGCTAGCTGTCTTGTTGCTAGAGCGCAGTAAAGAATACCTCTCCTGCCGGAATCATAAACTCCAGGTTCTTCGGCTGTTTCAGGAGCTGCAGAAAGGGATGCTTTAGCTGTTGAGGCGAAGAAGGGAATTGAGGTAAGGCTGGCATAAGAGAATGGAGTTACTGAGCTTACTGAGCTAATGGCCTAGAAGTAAGTGGAGTTAAGACAGCTCGTAACAGTATCGGAATACAATAGAATCCCTTCTTTACTTACCTATAGGCGAGTGACCACTGAACGATAAGAACAAAGCCACTTTCAGCTATAACCGGAGTGAAATGAGTTCTATAGGCCTTAGCCGGAACACTTTCTAACTAACTGTTAGCCAGTGAAGTGATTGCTAGGAGTGATCACGAACGAAGGATGAATAGAGGCGTAGTCTATAGCCGGCATAAGCTGTAACAGGAGTTCGAGTTTGAGTTACTCCAAGAACTACAGGGAATGCCATAGTAGAGCTAAAGCCAATAGCCGTAGCAGTGAAAGCTGTCTATCATAAGGTAGGAAAGGTCCTCTTGCTCTAGCAGTCAACGAATCGGAATCGGAAAGGGACGATCTTGTTACTGGTTCAATACCATAAAGGGAATAAGTTGAGGAATCTACATATGAAATAGTTCCAATATCGGCACAAAGATAAGGCGTTTCTCGGCAGGAAATGGTGTAACATCAGAGTGAATAGTTTCTGTAGCTGGTAACTCATTCACCTCTCCTTTCAGTCGAGTCACTCCGTGCCTCTCCAGCTTCTCCGAGCTATCTATCTCAAATTCATTTACTTTACTTACGAAGCCAGTCTCCTCTATAAGACTTTCATTCCCTAGACCTCGTAGGCTGATGATTGCCTTGATTGGCCAACAGTATCAGTTCAATCTGGCATTTCATCCTTGGCCTTGGTAAGGGTGTACACTATCAATGAACCAGTAGTTGCATTTACAGCAGAAGATAGATGGCATACTTCAAAAGCGGGAGTAGAAGCAATTGTATTTTATGCTACTAGGGCGGCTACTGAATCAATTGATGGAGTTATATGGGAATAAAAAATCCTCCTTAGAAGTGAAGGGCTTCCCCGCGGTTATGAGAATTTCTGGACCGCTTTCACTTTCTGTTCAGCATTTTAGGTATCTATAGACTTTCCTTCTCTGAGGAAGATCTACTTCTAATGATGTAAGTGGTTGATACCAGGGACAGTGGAAGTGGAAATGCGATCCCGGGGCATTTGAGTGTCTAAGGGCTGTTGGAAATCTGAAGCTATGACGGTAGGGGATAACGGCTAGTTGTGCGTACTAGGTACCTAAAGCGCTTGGGGCAAGCCTTCTAACATAATAATAGAAGTTCCCGGGTCTACTGAATCATTTACAAAGTCGACAGTTGAATTAGACAGGAAAAGAACCATCTGAAGCTGTTTCGGCTCTAAATGAAAGAGTAGGACTTTCTCTAGTAGCTTCAAGCATTCCAGTCGAGTTACTAAAGTACCTCAAATCACTTGCTTGGAGAGTTCCCAGCGAAGAGTTTTTCCTTTAATCAGCGGGGATGGCACCTGCCTTTCTTTAGATGACATTTCTCTCACTACCAATAGTCTCCGCTTCAAAGCTTTTCGGGCTTACCTGCTTTCTGTTCGAGAGTAGGAATCGACTCTAAGAGCAGAGTCCGCGGCAAACTAGAAGAGTGAAAACTAGAAGATTAAGATGGTACAAGTCTTTCTGAAGGCCTGACCTATCAATAAATAGGCTTTTTTTTTCAGAGTGGGATATGGAAACTTTTCCTCTGTCTATTAGACAAAGCGGAATCCAATACGAATTAAGTGAAAATGATGGCCAATTGAATCAATAGTNTGACGGTTTGGTAGGACGAGAGGGATTGAGTTTGAAAGATTGAACTGGGGAGAATGGAGAGGAGAAATCATAGAGGAAGGGAGTTGGATTTGGAGTGAAAAATAGCCATGAGAGAGTGGGGTGGCATTGATCTAATTATTTTTGTTTATAAACCGGCTGTCTGTGGTTTTTTTTTTTTTTTTTTTTGGGGAAACCGCGAGAGGTCATCCTTATAATTCCGACAATAAGCAACGTGGCTAAACATGTCAGAAACGACGACACATAAATCAACCAGGTGTCATTTTATCGCACACGTGTCGTAATTCCAAGAATTTTCAATAGCTATTTAACCCACACTTCTCACAAGCTACTACTATCAATTCAATCTTCGTGCAAATTTCTTGATCATTGTTCAATAATCAAACTGAAAAAATGCAGTCAGGAAGAAAAGCCGCGGAGTCCGTTAAAGAATCGGCTGCCAACACCTCCGCCTCTGCCAAGGCCGGCATGGAGAAGGCCAGGGCCACCGCCAAGGAGAAGGTGACATATCCAAGTAATTGATATATTAATATTTATTTATTTATTTATAGTCATTTATGGTATTTTCATGCAGGCCGAGAAAATGACAACGAGAGACCCGGCGGACAAAGAGGCCGCCACTCTTGAGAAAGAGATGGGAAATTCCGATGCAGAGCTCAACACGGACGCCGCCAAGGCACACAACGAAGCGACCAGGTGCCTGGTGGAGTCCGATGGACCTCGCCCTGGATACAAGACACGGGGCACTGAACCTCCCGAAACGACCACTGCCACCGAAGACTACGTCGATGATTACACCACCCCTGCTGCTGATCCCCGTTATCACCCCGGACCCACCTCCGGAGGCGCTTACCGCTGAAGTAGCTAGCTGGGCTTAGTTAAAGTTTCTAGCCAGTAGTATACATTTTCTCGCTGAAGTTTTTACTTTCCTCTTTTGTTTTGAATTTGGTTGTAAACGACATCGTTTTTCTGCTTGAATTAAATAAAGTGGGGAGGTTTATATAAAGGATTGCATTTTTTTTTTTTTTTATAAATTAAGAATTGATATATTATAATTTGGATGCAATGTTAAAATTAAATTTTGTCATATTGTAAGCACATCAATCAATCCGAGTAATCTCTTAAAGAAGAAAATAAAAAGTTGTGAGACAAAATTAGAATTGAATGTGAATTATTCATCAAACAAGAAGTCCCTAAATTATTTACTTACTTGTTACATATTATTACTTATTTATTTTTTATTTTTAATGATCGGAGGTGTCGGGTTAGCTCACGCGCACCTCAATTAATTCTTTGAAACTCTAAAAGTGTTTGAATCAGTTTACACGTATTTTAACTAATCTCTTAAGACTTTAAAGATTGAAATTAATCTTTGAGACCGTGGAGACTAGAACTATTGGCCGACTAACAGGGAATTAATCCCTTAAGACCTTGGAGGTTGGAACTACCGGTCGGATAAGGGTTTTAGTGACCAAGGTATTTATTTATTATTGGGTATGAATGTGCAATTTCTTTGGAATTAATCCCTTGAGACACTAGAGGCTGGAACTACCAACTGATTAAGCCTTTGAGACCCTAGAGGTTGGAACTATTAACCATATAAAAGTTTTAGTGATCATTCAAATTAATCGAGGTACTTATTTATCATTGGGTATATAAGAGTTTTAGTGATCATTCAAATTAATCGAGATACTTATTTATCATTGGGTATATAAGAGTTTTAGTGATCATTCAAATTAATCTGAGGTACTTATTATGAATGTGCAATTTCTTTATCAAATAATTGGTTACTTGTTATTTGATGTCTTTGGATTGAAGAATTAACAAAAATGAACAGAATTACGTATCTTCTTTAATCTCCGGTCATATAATTTTTTCAAACACAACAGAAAAATTATCCAACTTAACTCGTCAACCTGTATTTGGACAAAGTGTCGTGTCGTTTCAACCGTTAAATAACATCAGATAGTGCTGTAAATGTGTTGTATTACATTTATTGTTGTCTACTTAAATTAACTTGTCATGTGACAAAGCACAACTTCAACCATAAAACGACGTCAGATAGTATCGTAAATATGTTGTATTACATTTGTTGTTGTATACTTAAATTACTCGTTAGACCTTGTCTATATTTAGACAAAGCACCATTTCAACCGTAGAACGACATCAAATAGTACCATAAATATGTCATATTACGTTTCACCTTTCTAGTATTAATTTGGACAAAGTGCCNAGATACTTATTTATCATTGGGTATATAAGAGTTTTAGTGATCATTCAAATTAATCTGAGGTACTTATTATGAATGTGCAATTTCTTTATCAAATAATTGGTTACTTGTTATTTGATGTCTTTGGATTGAAGAATTAACAAAAATGAACAGAATTACGTATCTTCTTTAATCTCCGGTCATATAATTTTTCCAAACACAACAGAAAAATTATCCAACTTAACTCGTCAACCTTGTTTGTATTTGGACAAAGTGTCGTGTCGTTTCAACCGTTAAATAACATCAGATAGTGCTGTAAATATGTTGTATTACATTTATTGTTGTCTACTTAAATTAACTTGTCATGTGACAAAGCACAACTTCAGCCATAAAACGACGTCAGATAGTATCGTAAATATGTTGTATTGCATTTGTTGTTGTATACTTAAATTACTCGTCAGACCTTGTCTATATTTAGACAAAGCACCATTTCAACCGTAGAACGACATCAAATAGTACCATAAATATGTCATATTACGTTTCACCTTTCTAGTATTAATTTGGACAAAGTGCCGCTTCAACCATAAAACGACGTCACAGACGATACCGTAAATATATCGTATTACGTTTGTTGTTATATATTTACAACGGCACCAAAACCTGCATCAGTCTCCTGCATCGATGTTCAAAACTGGAATATGACGAAAAACTACATCGTATTATTGGGACAACCAAACCTGAGGATAATTGTGATGAAGACACAGTAACTGATCTAAGCTTGAGAAACGTGGCTAAACAGGTCAGGAACCGCAATACACAGATCATCCACGTGTCACTTGTCTTTTACACGTGTCATAACCCCACCATCTTTCTACATATATTTAAAGTCAAATCTTCATGCAAAGAATTTGACCAAAGTCAAAAGAAAATCGAAGTAGTGACCGAAATCTGATCCAAAATGCAGTCAGGAAGGAGTGCAGCCGAGTCCGTCAAAGAATCAGCGGCCAACGCCGCTGCTTCCGCTAAAGCCGCCATAGAGAAGGCCTAGGCCGCCGCCGAAGAGAAGGTTAGTTATTATTCATAAAAACTTTCACATTTACTCCCTTTCTTTTTATCAAATTTTGAATAAAAATCCCTTACAGGGCGAGAGAATGAGGACAAGCGACCTGGCGGAGAAAGAAGCGGCGACTCGGATGAAGGAAGAGAGGAAAACTCAAGCGCAGTTCAACAAGGAGGAGGCGCATTCACACAACGAGGACGCCAGGCAGATAGCGGAGTCCGGTGGACCACACCCCGGTTACAAAACGTGGGGCAGTTAAGATTATACATTAACAGATGTAGCTGGCGCCGCCACGGCCGCCGCCACCACTGACACTGAAACGCCGGTTTTGACTGGAAGTACTGGAGACTATGCGACCATCCCCACCGGGCCGGCCACCGCTGACCGAGTCCATCCGAGGGGACCTGTGAGGGCCGATGCGCCAGGTTTACTTGAGTCAGCTTTTGAATAAAAAATGGAAATTGTGTAAAATAAAATGTATATATAATTGTAAAATAGTAATAATAATAATAATAAAATATATATTGTAAAATAATTCAGGAAATTATCTCCATCGTCTCCATATTCATTTGCTTCTCTTTGAATTTGATTATAATAATCTCTTTAGTAATAAAACAAAAATTGCTGAATAAACTCCAGATTTGATAAATAAAATTGAAATCTGATCAACATTAATAAAAAGAGAAATTTTAAGTCTACAATCTAATCTCGTAACTTTTTTTCACAATTTCTAATTTTATAACATTCTCTCATAATTTTTGATATAATAACTTGTATCTTACAACTTTTGATATAATAACTTATAAAATGAGTCTTATCTATTTATACGGATTCCATTTATTTGCGAATTAACCAACCGTTAGAAGTTACAAGAAAAGAGGTTAAAGGAGAAGATACCGTTAGAAGTTACAAGAAAAGAGGTTAAAGGAGAACATTGTAACGTTAGAGATCATGAGAAAATATTGTAAATGGTGAATTTAGGATTATTATAATAAAAATATATAATTATGATTAGAATGAAATAATTGATATCCCTTTAATAATTCTATTTAATCTTTTAAATTATCAGTCGTATAAAACCAACACCACAAATTATTTTCCAAAATTCTTTAATTAAATTGAAGAATAATTCTCTTCTCGTAATAATCGGGTCAAAGGTTATCAAAGGGAAGCAACACGTGTCGACAGAATCGGCTTCTTGTTCCGACAACCCGCCACGTAATCCTTAACCTCCGCCATTGGATCACGTGGCATAAACCTGCTAGAAGCAGCGAACAATCTCCTGAGAACTCTCCACGTGCTATATCTTCCCTGTTACGTGTCGCAAACCCGTGATCTCTTCTTCCCCTATTTAACCATGATGCCAAACTGCTAATTTATTCACACAAAAGAAATCGAAATTCAGAGGAATTTTGAAGTTTGAAAAAAGTGAAAGTGAAAATGCAGTCAATGAAGGAAACAGCAGCCAACATTGCAGCCTCTGCAAAAGCTGGAGTGGAGAAGACGAAGGCCACTGTACAAGAAAAGGTTCATCCTCTTCTGTTGAAAAATGAACCTATTCCAACATCTTCTTCCACTTAAATTTCAATTTTGTATTTATACAAATTACTCTTGATTGGCATGTAAAAAACGTCCGCACCAGAGATTTACATAGGTATGTATATAATTTGAGTTTTAACGAGAGAAACTAATGGTGGTGCAGGTGGAGAAGATGCAAGCTCATTCTCCAATGGAGAAAGCAATGGCGACGGAGAAGAAAGAAGAGAGGCTAACACAAGCAGAAATCAACAAGCTGGAGACCATGAAGCACAATGCAGCAGCAAGACATTCTCCCAAAGGTGGTGCCAGCGATCCAGTTTTCACAGGAACCAGCCCTACCGGAGTAGATAATAGTTACATAACACTCGGTGCAACTACTAGTCCCACCGGGACCGCCTCATATTCAACCATCGGGGAGCACGGCTGGTCCACCAGGGGCCACCAGATGTCCGCAATGCCCGGACATGGAACCGGGCAGCCCATGGGCGGCCACGTGGTTGAAGGGCTGGTCGATTCTCACCCAATCGGATGGAACAGCGGGACAGGGCGGACCATGGCTCATAACACTCGAGCCGGCGCTAACCCATCGGGTCCGTACGACAGTACCGGTGTAGATAATAGTTACATAACACCCAGTGCAACTATTAATCCCACTGGGACCGCCTCATATTCAACCACAGGTGAACACGGCTTGTCCACGGGGGGCCACCAGATGTCCGCAATGCCTGGACATGGAACCGGGCAACCCGCAGGCGGCCACGTTGTTGAAGGGGTGGTCGAGTCTCACCCAATAGGAATGAACAGTGGGACGGGGCGGACCATGGCTCATAACACTAAAGCCGGCGGGAATCCACCCGGTCCGTACCACGGTACCGGTGGCTCTTACAGTTAAGTGATGAATGTGAAGTGTGTTTTGGGGGGTTTATATAAGAGTTTGATATGTAAGGGAGGATAAGGTTGTTCTCTATTGTCCTCTCACATATTTAGGGTTTGGGAGTGTTTGTGTTTTTGTTTTTATATGGTAATTGGCCTTGGTATAACTCGAACTCAAGATTAGAGGACGGTCTTACCTAGATGTCCCTCCATCCCTCCAGGCGTTCCTCTTTCCATCCGACCGCAAGTCAGTGGTATTTGTTTTTGTCTAATGTTTATCCAATTTTTGTTTGGTTTGTTGTATCTACACTTGTACTTTAATAAAAAAGTTGTTTTGTTTGTGACAATATCAGGGTTTTCTTTTATTGAAGCTTGTTAATATAAGATAAAATAATAATATTATTAATATATTAAATAACAGATAATACATATATGACGATACATAATTTAGTATACGAATTTAAAGTAAGTGTTTAGAATAAATAATATTACTTAATATCGGTCATGGTATTTTTTTTTTAATAAATAGTTAAAGAATACTTGTTTTTTTTTGAGTATTTTGAGCATATGACTCAATATATTGATAATTATGGTTAACAATAATACTAACTTCATTAATCCCTCTCATTAACCCCATCTTACTGATCTCATATGGGAGTTTGTGTTTGGCTTGGTTACGTGGAACCCATTATTAGACAGACGAACCCCATGTAAATTGACGAATTGTAAGCTAACATGTGACGTTAGTAAGAGAATGTTAGTGAGAAGTATTAGTGAGTATAGTATTACGCTATGGTTAATTGACTTAGAAATGAAACTAAAATGGCAAAAATATTTCTTAAAAATATATTACACCGCTAATTTGAAGGAAATGGTTTGACTTTATAATAAGAGTAGACACATATTTTCATCATTTTATTAGTAAGTTCTATATTAATTAACGGTATTCAAAACGAGTGTCCTTTAAGGCTTTAAATTATTTAGAACAAAACCATAGGGATGAAAACAAAATTCTCTCAATTTGTTGGCTCGCCAACTTTGAAGAATGTAATCAAGACTACAGAGGCTACAATAACTTGAAACTGAAACTCGAGAAGGTCAAAAATTCTGATACAATGATCTTTTATCAACAGTACAACTAAGATGCATTGCAAAACCAACATATAAAAAACAGGTCTCTCTTGCTAATACATGACTGCACAACACAGTGTGTCGACCGGCAAAATCTGGAAACTGAATCCTCACAGAACTGACTTGCGCAACTCTGCAGCTCCATGTGCAAAGTGACATCTTTCCCCAAAGGTGCAAGATCCCTTGGCAAAGTTGTCACAGAGCTTTGTCTTAAAGTTGTTACTACTTGTATGAGCCGTGCCTCCTGGACCTCCAGGATTTTTCGCATGGACAGGACCTATGCTTAGGATCAGCTCTCTTACCATAGCACTGGCTTGCTTAATCTGCTCAAAAGAGCCTTCGAGCTCAATGTTCTTGAGATTGGGATCTGTCTCGTGATCTCGGATGGAAAGCTTGGCTCCTGTTTGGCGACATATCTGCTTAGAGTTCACACCACCCTTCCCAATAATGGCACCCGCAAGGGAAGCATCTACACTGATTTTTGCAGTAGCTGAGGCACCAAAAGTAGCGGCAGGTCCTGGTGCAGGTGGCTCCATCCGGCTGCCCATACGACCTGGAATGGGTCCCATCCCACGGGGATCATCATGTGATGGGGCAATCCTATTGCCAAGTTCCCATTCACCATGAGCAAAATGGCATTTGTCACCAAACTTGCAACCTTCAGCAGAACTAAACTTGTTGCACATGCGAGATTTAAAAGCTGAGCCATTGGATGTAGGTGGTGGTGCAGCCATGTTTCTAGACGGCAGGGGTACGGCCGGCGCTAGATTCATCATCTGGGCCACCGCATTGTATCCACCTGAAAAGTGGTGCAGAAAATGGCAGCTATCACCAAATGGACAGCCAGCAGTGCTGCAAACCAAAGTACAAAAATATTAGACACAGACAACTGGAATCCTAACACCCAGAAAATAATTAAACTGCCTAATCTGAAGCTGATTTGATAAACAAAAAACAAGACTCCAATACGAGTTTTCATATGAGTCGTTATGGCAAGTAAAAGACACAAAAAACCAAAATACTCAATCCTGCTGCAGTCTCATATTTGGAAGATGGGAAAGTGCAACAACAGAACTGAAAATGCGATAAAGTTTGGCATGGCATATTAGTTTCATAAACTAACAGATTATCTTCCTTATAACATTTACCAGTCAAAGTATTGGCAGTAAGAATAAAAACTAAAAGTTGATATAATTACCATAAACTTATACCTTAATTAACTAGGTGGATAAAATTAGGACATCACTGAAGAGTTTTGAAGTTATAGTATAAACCAGTTGTAAGAATTACAAATATTGTTGAGCTTCTTAGTGCCAATTATACTTTGCCAATGATGGTTATCTTTCAGTCAGCGAACAGAACAATATCTCAGTAAGATTCAATCTTAACTTGTTAGAACGAACCACATTTTGTACCTGTGTAATAGCTATGAATTCCCACTTCATTAGCGCATTAAAAGAATTTTATCTTTTGAATTCAATTATTAAAAGAATTTATAAACATAATATGCAATTCAAAATACTTATTTAGACAAGCAAAGATTTGAACCTGTAAAACTTGGTGCATGGCTTCGATTTGCTTCCTACACCAGATAAGTTGTCCGTTTCTGTTGCAAAACATTAATTACTTGTTCTTAGTTAAAGTTTCTCCAGATTATTGATAAAATTATCTAGACCATCTCGTAATTAAATTCTTAACACCATTTAAAAAAACCAAAACTAAACTTATAATTATTTATAAAGAAACTTGATCATTTCTGCAGAATCGATGCATTAGCTGTCCAATCTCTAATCTAAAATGGAAGTCTTCTTATTCTACGAAAAGGGTAGCTTATAATTTCTAGTATATGCATTACAACATCATTAAACAGTTCAAAGCCCAAGCGAATCTATAAATCAACGATACCTATAATTGATACGAATCAGTTCACTTCATCCCAAACACCAAATAATCGACATATCCTAATCAAAGCAACAAAGAAATTTTCAGCTAATTAAACTATAACTGTAACTAATATTTCACATAACCAGTAAAAAGAATACAATATCACACTCTAACACCAGCAAAACATAACAAAATTTGTTATATTTAACTCCTAAATCAAGCCAAGTTCTAATCTTTCCCTTCAAAGTAGCCTCTTTTCTACAGCAACTAAACGAAATTAAAACAAAATAAATAAAGAAAGAAACGTACCATGCTTGGATTTCTTGAGGGCGCCATTAGCGTAGAAAGAAGCTTCAGACTTCGCTCTCTTTCGGGTATCCATTAGATCCAGATTCAATGAAAGGAAACCAACACAAAACCCAAATAGAAATTCCGTTTAACGAATACCCCGATGGAGTAACTGTGCTAAAACCGGGAAATTAAGCACTAGAGAAACAGAGGAAACTGAAACCCTAACCCTAGCTTAAGGGTTTATGGTGCTGAGACGTGAGAGAAAGTGAGCTGGGAGAGTGAAAAGATATTAATAGGAAGTATATTTGTATTAATATAAATATTAGGGTTAATATCGTTCAACTCCCTGAACTTTTAGTGTAGTACCAGAACTCATGTAGTTTGATAATTTATACTAACCTCCCAGGAAGGTTTTATTAGACTCACAAATTGTTAAATCCTATATAACCTGATAACACTATATACGTCCATTCGATAAAAATGATAGACGAAACTAGCCTTATTGGATTGGATAGTTAACAAATCAATCCATTAAAACAAGTTTAGTCTTAGAAATTGTTGCATCCATTTCACTAATTAATTAAGGGTATTTTAGTAAATTTATAGTAAACAATTATAAGAACCTTAATAATCATGTATCTTGATGTAGTGATTTTACAATAACGTTTTAAAAACCATATTTAAATCCGATAGGTTGATATGTTAAGTATTGGGTGAAAAAAAATTAGCATAACACGAATACAAAATGACACAACACGAAATGAAATTGCTTCAAACTAATTCATTACCGCGACTAGTTGACATCCTTTAAAGTTTAATTTAATTATTGTGACGTCTCATAACAAGGAGAGGTTATCGATACTTATAGAGGACACGGGCGATTTCCAAACTATAGAGGGCGTTTTAGATAAAACCAAAATCTTAGGGGAGGTCAAAAAACTCATCGCTGTGTTGATTTTTCATTAAGATTTTAAATTATATGGGAGTTAATTGTTTCATTTGGATTCCGGCGCGTCACCTCACGTGTACTCACGGTTGATGACGTTAGCTTAATTTTGGGTAAGTCGGTTACGTGATGCTTCAGTTTTGGATTTAATGGGCCGCAATATGAGGCCTAGAATTGGGCCTGGGCTTTCTTAGTGGGCCATTCATGTTGGGCCCTTTTTGAAGTTCTTTTAAGATCTTAAATCTTCATCACATATCCGCAAATCTTTGGAAAATATAATTTATTATTTAATAAATAATAAATAATAAACACTTGTATTGCATGTATTTATATTTTTAAAATAAATTATAAATTATAAATTTTATATTTTATTTTATTAATTAAATGCATATTTGATATCACCCAAAATTATATTAAAGCAAGTAAATGATTTTTCACCCAAAATTAAACCTTTTTTATCCTATAAATCATTTTCCTAAACAATGGCAATACGAAAAAAATTAATGTATACTAACAATAATTTATTTCTCTATATTCATAATAAAAAATAACTTAACCACCGTCGATTTACGTCAAGAAACTTAGATTTGTCTAACATAGAATTTAAATAAAATATTTCATTTTTAAAACAAGATATATAAAAAATTATATGAAAATGCATTTGGTAGTAATCAGTCAAAATGTTTTTGAAAACAATTTTCAGATACGATAAAAAAAACTAGTATAAAATAATAAAATGATTAAAAATTATTTTTTACATTTTTCTATAATTTTTAAATATTATATTAAACACATTTTTAAATATTAAATATAATTCGCCTGTTGTTGGTCTTTCTAACCATCCGAGACGATAACAAGGAAATACCCAAAGTATCCTAGTAACCATAAAAACTTGCAAAGGGCATAATTGATATCACCCAAAAATTTTATTAAAGCAATAAATAATTTTTTACACAAAATTAAACCTTTTTTATCCTATAAATCATTTTTCTTAAACAATGGAAATATGTAAAAAATTAATGTATAGTAACAATAATTTATTTCTCTATATTCATAATAAAAAATAACTTAACCACCGTCGATTTACTTCAAGAAACTTAGATTTGTCTAACATAGAATTTAAATACAATATTTCATTTTTAAAACAAGATATATAAAAAATTATATGAAAATGCATTTGGTAGTAATCAGTCAAAACGTTTTTGAAAATAATTTTCAGATATGATAAAAAAAAACTAGTGTAAAATAATAAAACTATTAAAAATCTTTTTTTACATTTTTCTATAATTTTTAGATAACTTTTAAATATTATATTAAACACATTTTTAAATATTAAATATAATACGACTGTTGTTGGTCTTTCTAACCATCTGAGATGATAACAAGGAAATACCCAAAGTACCCTAGTATCCATAAAAACTTGCAAAGGGCATAATTGATATCACCCTGAAAATATATTAAAGCAATAAATAATTTTTAACCCAAAATTAAACCTTTTTTATCCTATAAATCATTTTTCTTGAAAAATGGAAAGACTTAAAGAGGTCAAAAATTAATGTTTACTAACATTAATTTATTTCTCTATATTCATAATCTAAAATAATTTAACCACCGTCAATTTACGTTAAGAAACTTAGATTCTTCTAATATAGAATTTAAATACAATATTTAATTTTTTGAAACAAGGTATATAAAAGATTATATGAAAATGCATTTGATAGTAATCATTTAAAACGTTTTCGAAAACAATTTTCAGATACAATAAAAAAACTAGTGTAAAATTATAAAACAATTAAAAATTGTTTTTCACAATTTTTTATCATTTTTAATCCCAAGATAATTTTTAAATATTAAAATACATTATTTTTTTAGCTCAAATAGACGATAAAAGGGAAATACCCAAAGTACCCTAATGTCCATAAAAACTAGCGTAAAGTTATAAAACAATTAAAAAAATTTAAATATTTAATTTATGATTTTTCATCCGAAGATAATTTTTAAATATTAAAATACATTATTAGCTCAAAAGAGAAATACCCAAATTACCCTAATGTCCATAAAAACCTGCAAAGGGCATAAAGATCATTTAGCATGGGCGCCAAAACCAACAGCTCAACAAAACTTTCTTTGATAATTCCAAAGTTCCCTACACTTCAACGATCGTTAACCAAACTTTGATTTCATCGAAACTAAGCCATACTTAAACTTTCACTACCAACTCTCACATTTACAACTTTAAATTCATTGCACTTTCATCCCTTTTGTTCTCTCTCAATTCTCGGCATTGCAGAGGTGAGTTTTGGGATCTTTCTTTCACTCTTTCTATGAATTTGAACTCATTTTTCTGTTAATATTTTGATGTTGTTTAAGGTTTGATAGCCTTTTAGATTCTCTGTTTTTTGTTTAATGTGATTGAATTGGTGTTTTAATCAATCCCTTTTGAGATCTTTGAATTTGGGTTGTCATTCATTTCATTTTATGAGCATGGAATTGGGTGAATTTGTTTTTGGGAAGCATGTTTTATGTGTTGTTTTGTTGCCATGAAATGTTTTTTGTGAAAGTAAACTGACCCTTGTTTACATTGAAGTGATTGTTTGGAGTGTTTTACTATTGAATTTGCAGGTTCTTGTTGATTTAAGTTTCTGGAAATGGCTGCTGCGGCAACTTCTGGGGCACAAATGGCAGTGATTAAGCCTTGTGTTTCGTCGTCTCGTAAAAGTTTTATGCCTGGTAGAGGAAGTTTTAGTACTGATAATCAAAATGCATCTTGGAAGATGCTTGCAAGCTCTTCTCAGCTTGCGTCTGCGAAGCCATCGGTCCAGAGCCTGACAGCGAGGCCTGGTAAATCTGTCAAGTTTGTAACAAGAGCAATGTCTGCAGAAAATGAGAACAAGCCTCTACCCGGATTGCCTGTTGATTTGAGAGGTTGAACATCTCCTTGTTTGCCTAATTGTTTTCGTGGTAATCGTGTGTCACATCTAACAATGAGACATCTGTGACCAGGTAAAAGAGCATTCATTGCTGGTGTGGCTGATGACAATGGATATGGTTGGGCAATAGCGAAAGCTCTTGCTGCTGCAGGTGCTGAAATTCTTGTCGGGACCTGGGTGCCTGTATGTGAACTATCGAACTTAAATCTTTTGTAGTTGTAGACATGCCCAATTTCTTTCAAAGTTTTATAGTTTCTGATAGCAGGTTTCATTTTATGTAGGCACTGAACATCTTTGAAAGTAGTCTACGGCGTGGAAAGTTTGATGAATCACGCGTGTAGGAGCACATTTCTCTTTTCCTTAATTACATACAATTTCGATGACACTTACTGAACTAGTCCTGACTCTCTGGCCTTTGCTTATTGAACTTTGATATTTCAGATTGCCAGATGGATCATTAATGGAAATTACCAAAGTTTATCCTTTGGATGCAGTTTTTGACAATCTTGAGGATGTTCCTGAAGATGTAAATACTCCTTATATAGTTTCCAGTGTATTCTTTATAAATTTCTATTATATTCTGTTGATATTCATATTTGCTGTCTTGTTCAGGTGAAAACAAACAAACGCTACTCAGGGTCCTCAAAATGGACTGTTCAGGTATCGTTATTTGTTACGCTCTTTGGAGTAGATACTCTGTAGAAGTTGATAAATGAGTGATATTCATGAACCCCATCTGAAATTAACGTCATTTAAATAACAAAGCAACCCGGGCATTAAGTTTAGTACTTGTCAACAATGCCTTTAATTTGATCTAAAAATTGCATTTTCCTTCTCATGGTAAATTGCATTAGCACTGGAAATCACTGTTCCGGGCATCATATAAGAAACTGGATGATGGTTAATGATAGAACTCTCCTTCTATCTCAACCTGCAAAACCATTCATGCACTACAAATACCCAGAATGCCCAGTCACCTCAACAACAAACGCAAAACAATTCAACCAGAATTTCAGAAATACTTCTGCAATACTAATTATATTCCAACAATCACCAGTTCAATACTCAACAAGTATACCAAGTACAATCCAGAGAATGAACAGTAATAGACAATAGGAAAATCGGCAAAAGAGAACAAAAATAAAGAAAGAAAATAAAAAAGGACAACCAGCTGGCATCGAGGGCCAGTACCTCCCCAAGCCAAATTCCCTTTTTACTTTTTGATACCCAAATATTCAGTGTCACCCTTTTTATGCACCATTCCCCCTCTAACAGAATTATGTCAAACCCAATCTGAAGATGCCACCTGTCCAATGCTGAATGCCAGTAAAGTGCCATTTATCTTGTATTCCCTCTCTTATTCTTTCTGCTGAAGACGTGCACTAAAGGGGTCTCATCAGTTAACCAATTGGTAATAATGGTTTTGCAGGAGGTTGCTGAATCTGTAAAGCAGGATTTTGGTAGCATTGACATCCTTGTGCACTCACTCGCAAATGGGCCAGAGGTGTAGCATTTTTTACATTTTTACTTTTATGTGGTTTCTCCAGGATTGTAATGGCAGTTAACTTCTCTTTACAAATCATCCACAGGTTAGCAAGCCTCTTCTGGAGACTTCGAGAAACGGATATCTTGCTGCCATCTCTGCGTCAAGTTATTCCTATGTTTCTTTACTCAAGCATTTTGTTCCTATAATGAATCCAGGTATGTTCCTCACCTAATTTTCGCTTCCAATTTTAGTACTGATACTTGAAATATGCACAGAAAATGATGCTTGATTGTAAAATGGATGTTGATATTTCAGGGGGTGCTTCAATCTCTCTGACATACATTGCCTCTGAAAGGATCATTCCTGGGTATGTTTCTTTGAACACAGTATTTGCATGGATCACTTTCTTATTAATGATATTCCCCCTTCTAAACTGTTATATGTTCAGATATGGTGGAGGCATGAGCTCTGCGAAGGCTGCTCTGGAGAGTGACACACGCGTGAGTATTACTGGCTGACCATATTTAAGCGTCTGTTTCAGTTTCATCAGAAATTTGTGATGATTGTATAATATTTTTCAAACTTCATTGCTTAATTAGGTGCTGGCTTTTGAAGCTGGAAGAAAACACAAGATCAGAGTTAACACAATATCTGCAGGTATAATAGCTACTTCATAGGATTAACATTGTTATTTCACCAAATTACAATCATAGACATCTTGCAGCCAATGGAAAATTGTCTTTTGGTGCTATTCATTAGCGCATTAGGTCCTTGCCTGTCTACTTATGCTTTTAGGTCACATTGTAAAACTTTATCTTTGTTCCATTTCTTGCACAGTAATATAAATTGTCTACACATTAGATAGAAAGGCTTCAATTTTGCTATACGTTATCAAACTAATTTAAGCATAATATGATTTTTGACATTCTTGTTCGCCCAAAAACACCAGGTCCTTTAAGAAGTCGGGCTGCAAAAGCAATCGGCTTTATCGATATGATGATTGATTACTCATTAGAAAATTCACCCTTACAAAAAGAACTAACTGCAGGTGAGTAATCACTAACTACACCTCCTATCCTGCCTGTAATTGTGTTTTAATAGATAAGCCCTTATCCTTTTAATGGAACAGAGGAGGTAGGGAATGCTGCAGCCTTCCTGGCTTCACCTTTGGCGTCGGCGATCACCGGTGCCGTTGTCTATGTCGACAATGGTCTAAATGCTATGGGAGTGGGAGTTGACAGTCCCATATTTGAAAACCTTGACATTCCAAAAGTTAAGCAAAGCTAGAGCTTGAGATGATTCTCATTGTGTTTGAGTGGAGTTGTACTGAATTTTGAATTTGCACAAATAAATATTGCTCCCACCTTATTATTTTACACCATTCCAATCCCCAATTTGTTTCATAGAGGGTATTTATTATGAATTGTGTTATTCATTCTGGCTTCTGGGTTCTGTTACAAAATAGACCCTGCAATGTTATTGTAACATTTAACTTGTATTATGAAACGTAATGTAATCATATTGCTTTTCTTGTTAAATGTCTTTAAAACGAAATTATGAAACCGTAACCCCAATGCTAACACAGGATATATGATCAGGAAGCTACCATTGAAATGGCATCCAACAACTATTATAACAGTGTCTGGCAAAGTGTAGATTTTTTTATCATCACTGAAATCAAAGGTTATTGGCAACAAGTGAATTCAACTCCACGTGATGAAGAAGGGTCTATAAGATCAATAACACTAATAACTTGCATCAATTTCTCATCATTCTTTCCTTGAGAACAAGAATACCGTTGGGGAAATAAATAGGAAAAAATATTATGAATAAGATCAGCAACCTTCGTAGACAATGGGAGGTTTCTTTATCTTGAATGCTAAGAATTTGAGTGGTAGGGCTAGCCAACCATTTATCTTGCCAAAAATGAATCTTGTCTCCCTTACCAACAAGCCAACGACAACCCTTAGCAAGAAGAGGATGCATTTGCATTAAACCTGGCCAAATAGAGGACTTTGCATAATGCAACGAGTAAGAAGTTGGAGTGATCTTAAATCGCTGCTTGAGAAAAATGCTGAAAACACAAGGACCTATATACTTGAACCAAAAAATCTGTACAATTCTAGATATGTACGGTCCTAAACTACTCTAGTTATAAACAAACCCTAAATATATACTTAGACAAAAAACTTATAATATATTAATATGCTTATAATGCCTGCACCGATTTGTCTCACCTTACGCTTCCCTTTACGAATGGCAGCATGTCTTGCTTCCGTAGTGTCATTCTTAGGTGAATCTTAGCATACCAAAATGTTCATGTAAAGCGAAAGCCACAGTTCCTGGACGACTTCTTAATCTGTATTGTTTGCGCTGTTTCTTGAGATTCTACTTTATGCGGTATGGTTGACAATTACTTAATATTCATACTTCGTTTCTATGTGGCATCAGCTCCTCCACAAAACCAAAAGAGATTGTCATCAACTGTACACCTTACGCTTCCCTTTACNAGAAAAATGCTGAAAACACAAGGACCTATATACTTGAACCAAAAAATCTGTACAATTCTAGATATGTACGGTCCTAAACTACTCTAGTTATAAACAAACCCTAAATATATACTTAGACAAAAAACTTATAATATATTAATATGCTTATAATGCCTGCACCGATTTGTCTCACCTTACGCTTCCCTTTACGAATGGCAGCATGTCTTGCTTACGTAGTGTCATTCTTAGGCGAATCTTAGCATACCAAAATGTTCATGTAAAGCGAAGCCACAGTTCCTGGACGACTTCTTAATCCGTATTGTTTGGGCTGTTTCTTGAGATTCTACTTTATGCGGTATGGTTGACAATTACTTAATATTCATACTTCGTTTCTATGTGGCATCAGCTCCTCCACAAAACCAAAAGAGATTGTCATCAACTGTACACCTTACGCTTCCCTTTACGAATGGCAGCACATCTTGCTTCTGCAGGGTCTTTCTCAGGTGAATCTTCCAATACCGAGTTTTCATGTAAAAGCTTTCCTTTACGAATGGCAGCAAGTCTTGCTTCTGCAGGGTCATTCTCAGGCGAATCTTCCAATATCGTCTGTTCATGTAAAACTAAGCCACGGTTCCTGGACAACTTCCTAATTGGTCGTGTTTGGGCTGCTTCTTGAGATTCTACATTTACGCATTCTGGTTGACAACTGCTTGATAAGCGTGCTTCGTTTCTATGTGGCATCAACTCCTCCCCATTGCCGACAGAGCTTGTCATCAACTGTAAATTCCAGAAATGTTCAGAAACCAGTGAAAGAAAGATTCACACTCCAGAATTTTATTAACCTTTAAATTGTATAGAACCAGAAAATACATAAGATTTGCAGAATATATAGATCAAGCATAGAATTGCTTTTCTCCCAATACCTTCCAATCCCTGAAATCAAATCTGAAGACAAAGTGGCTGTAAGTGACTTCTGAAGATGCAACTGCATTGGCACTGGGAGCATTTCTTGGCGCTGAATAACAGGAAAAGATAAATATTTAAAATAGTAATAAAAAGTGAAGAAAATAACTTAATAGAAGCACAGCAATTGAGAAGGAGCTTACAAACTAGATGATGATTGTTCCCGTCCACTTTTATTTGAGCCCGCCCATCTTTGACTAAAAATGACAGAGCAAATAAATTTTCCACTGTCTGTGAAAAAGAGCTTCTATTTAAAACTAGATTCTCAAGTCTCACTCTTCTGTTTTTCTTCAAGATATTAAACATGGTTAACATATTTTTGTCGGTACCCATTTGCTCTTCTGTAACAGCATCATCAAGCTGCAAAAAGTTAAGATGATTGCTCAAAGTTACAGCAGGGGAAAAGGGAAAGAAGTTACTAGCCATGTCCATATTATAAATAGGTACTCTAAAACGGTTCAGGTAATAAGGGGAAAGAAGTTACTAGCCATGTAAATATTACAAATAGGTACTCTAAAACGGTTCAGGTAATAACAATTGAAGATACATATAAATTGTCGCAATAAATCAAGGAGGAGCAGTTTCAGGTGATAGATAAACAAACTATATAAGAATTGAGATGCATAATGCACACTTATTTAATGTTAACTGAAAATAATTTGTATGAACAGTCTGCTTATTATATTACATATAATTATCCAAGGAAAAGCAATCTCCAAACAGGATTAGATAGAGATAACAACTCAATAAAATCAATTATTTGCGAAGGAAAGCGAATCCATTTTTACCTCTTTCGGCTGAGAATTTTCTGCTGGATTTACACGTTTTCTGCGAACAGCAGCTTTTCGTTCCTTTGGCTCAATATTCATGGGCCCAACCCTGAAGGATGAATAAAACAAAAGTGATATGATATTATAAATGAACTTGAAAAAATATATAGAAACAATAAATAATTCAGTTGCCATTACATGGTGGAGCATCCACAACTGTTCCTGAAAGCATCTGACACTACAACTCCAACATCCGCCCAAGCTATAGATGCACAGCCAGCTTTGGCTGTACTACTTGGTCCACTTTGTTGCCCAAAGTCTCTAAGAAGAGAGGAGACAAAATCCGAAATAATTATGCCACCATTATTTTCTACCTGGACACATGCTACCATGGTGCTTGTAATGTCCAACAGGGCCTCTGCATCAGCAATCTGCTCTCTAGGTTTCTGTACTGAAAATCATATCAAAAAATGGGTCAAACTAAACAGTCCACAGAACCCAAAAAAATCAAAAAAAAAAAAAAAAAAAAAAAATTACTCTAACCCAGAAGATGAAGTATACAATTAAATAGAAAGGAATACTAAAAAGAAATTAGTGCTGCATATAATGTTTATGTAAGCAACAATATTCACTACCACCAGATTGACATCCAAGTAAAAAACACTACAACCCAATTAAATTTCCAAAAAAAAAATATAGAAGAGACCAAATAATACACTACTCAAAGAAATTATTCTATTTGTACAAAATCTTAAATATTGCAGAAGATAACAAAATATCATATGATTGCATATTTCCAATTCAAAACAATATAAAATTAATCACAATACTATTTCAACCACAACTAATATTAGAACAGTCTACAGTCCTGGATACATTTGATTAAGCATAAGACCTGTAACAGAATAAGTTGTAAGTTGTAACATAGTATGTTCCGAACTTGTAATTCAAGTTTAATGTCACAATTTTCACCTTTAACCTAAGGATCATAATTTTACCAATCAATGATCATACAGTAATATATAATCATATACCCCGTTGACGCATTATGATTACTCAAAAAGTCATTGACAAGAGAAATCTCGATGAAATTATTTCACCTTTCAAACTTCAAAATCTCAACATTCAAAACAGGATTAAAAATTAATTACAAGCACAATTTCGACTATAATATAACAAATAAACTGTAAATAATATATTTAGAACTTAACTTGTAATTCAAGTTTCAAGTTTAATAACAATTATAAATTATAATCAATGAACACAGAGTAAAAATAAAACTAACATACCCTGCTGATGCAAGCTGTCCAATAGATTAATGATCGTGTTAAACTTATTAGAATTAGCATTGATATCTCCTCTCTTTCATCTGCAAACCCAATTCACAAAACCCCAAACAATCAAAATAAACAAATAAAAACACAACTTTAAAACAAAATAAAAATTATTTGACTCAATTAAACTTAAGATTAAAAAAAAAAAAAAAAACCATAATTGAGTACCATTAATGCGAGATTTTACAGAGCGGTAACGAGAACGAAGAGCTCTACGAGCAGCCACGTCTTGGTGATGATGATGATAAGCATCACTACATTCCACTTCTTCTTCTTCGGTAAAGACGCTACTTTCACTATTTCTGCCACTACCCATTTCCCGCTTTAAAGTTGTAACCATGACTGATTGTTTTCTTTCAAATTTTCTCGGTAAAATTGAAGAAAGATGGAAAATTGGGGAATGGGGTGGTCCGTTTAGAGGTGGAATTGGAAAACCCTTGAAGGGTTTGTTTCAATTGGGGAAGAAATTTGAAAAACCCTAGAATTGAATTGAATTGAAATTGGAAAACCCTAGAAAGGGTTTTATTTGAATTTGTGATTTTGCGCTGTGTGTTTAGCGGCGAAATTTGAATAGTGATTTACATATATATTAAATTAATCAATATTTTATCAATTAATTTATGATACAATAAATGAACCTTTTTATTTAAAATTAATTAATTAATATGATAATAAATTTAAAAATAATTAATAGTTATGATGCAATAAATCTAGCATTGTTATTAATGTGGATGTCCCTTTGCAATTCTATAATAAGTATTTCACTTCTTTCATAAAACCTATTTCACAATACATATATATATATATAATACTTGAAGGATTGAAGAATTGAAGTAAATGGGTAAGATTTCAAAAACTCCATTAGATTGTTTTTTAAAGCCTAATGAGTAATTTAAGTAAGTAATTGTTTTTATTTTGATAATTGAAGTGTACTCAACTAATCCTTAAAATTTATTAAACATTTTATAAATCCAATAAATAAGGTAAGTCACAAATGAGGTAAATAACCATTTTGTGGCTTTATTTTAAAACCTGGACCAACTCGTGGAACTGGGACATGATAGCTTCTCCAATATTGTTCTAGTTTTAAGGGGGTTTTGCTAATTTTCAAATTTATAGGGACTTAATTTTTAGGGGGTGATTTTGCAATATTTCAAAAACATTCGGCACTAAATTATTTGGGGCACTTTTAAATAAATTAAAATTTCAAGGCCTACTTTGCTTTTTTCAAGGGTATTTTCATAATACACTAAAAATTAAGGAATTAATTGACAATTTTTTAAAACTATTTTTATTGTTGACAAATTGGACTGATTGACCCATTACCTGATCACCTTGCCAGGTCTCACAAAGGGTCGGATTTTTAAAAAATGCTTTGTGGGACTCGAACTGGTTTACAAGCAATATCTTTGGGAGTTGTAGTTCATGTGTACTTCTTAATCTCGTGTTATTTATTTTAATTTCAAGGTAATAATATCATCAAAACTGGAAGATTGATGCTTAATAGATGAAAAGAAAACTAAACGTTAAGAGAGGGAAATGAAAAAGGAAATATAAATTAATGACTAATTTTGCCTAATCTACCTCCTTTCTATTAAGGGAAATGTGCCAAAATCCCTATTTTCAGTGACTACCCAGTAAAAAAATTAGCACAAATTTCCCAACAATGAATTAAATACAAAATTTTGGTGTGACAGATTTGTATTCTCTAAGCTAAGATTCTAATGCAACCGCTAACCCACCACATCCTCCATGCATAACAGTAACTGTCGACTCTCAGCTAGGTGCAAACAGGCAAACCTGCCAAACAATGCTCTCTCTCAGAGTCTTAATTGGCATCCAATCCATCCATATGTACCCCGAGAGCACGGTTGTAATGCCCAAGTCAGGCAATTCATCAACCCGACTCAGTCACTGAGAGAATCTCCGTCCTTGGTCTACAACAACTGTTAGAGGATTAACCCAGAACATCGCACAGAGTTCAGGTTCTCAGATTAGTCTAGCCAATGTCAGTGTACTCCGGCAATATTGAACAGTCTTCGAGGCCCGAGAGAAGGTCAGGGTAATAGTCATGAGACACCATTTCCAAACTTTCCATTTCCAGTGAAAACTCCTTGTCCATGCAGGAAAGGATATTACCGTCTGGTGCATAATCTGACCAGCTCTCTTGAATGATTGCTGGGGTCAAATCAAACCTTAAATTGGGATCTTTTGTGGTGACAGGTGGAGTTGGCTGGAATCCTGGCTCAAGAAGGAACTGTCGTATATCGCCATGCTCTATTGAGGTCTTTTTGAGTTTTGATTTTGGAGGCTTGGTTGAATCGGAGGAGAGTTTGTGCTTTCCCAAGGATGGCAACTTTGGGACTGATCGCAACCTGGCATCATTTGCTGGGAAAGCAGATGAAGCCCAACTGACGCTATCTTCAGAACAAGCTCTCGCAGCATCCCTGATAAATAAATAAATAAAAAGTCTAAAAGAGTCAATAAAATCTATAAATATAATCCAAGCATCGATTTTGCATCAAAGTAATTAACTCTATGTGTTCATATCCATTTCTCTCCACATTAAGCTTTTCAGTTTAATATTATATTAACATGATATCAGCAACTTAACTTCGGCTTATGTTTAAATCCACGTGTATGTCTCTGCTTTCTATGCGAGGACAATCCTCAGACTTAAATACTCTTGTATTTTTCCTTGAACTTGATATTTTAGGATTCAGCAAAGTTTGAACAGAACTTGAGGATTTTTACTTATATATGTTTCTAAACACTAGGCCTTTCTGATATTATGCTGCTAAGATATGAAACAGATTGCCCATACCTGAATCTGCTTTCGGCCACATCTTGTGTAACTTTAAGATGGTTATCTTCTCCAGCAACCTTGTTTACCGATGACTGAGAGTCTGAGCCATATACTGATAAATCTATAGCAGGTGGGAATGGAGTCATGGAGTCATTCAACTCCCTAGGGAATTCCAGCGTAACGTCCAACTGTTCTGTGATGACTCGACTATCTTCCCTTGGACCAGAAAGGGAAACTCTGTCTTCCTTTGAGCTACAGCTGGCCTCATTAAGAGCCGCAAATAAAAGCTTGCAATTCTGTCCTAAATTAATGAATTTTATCCTTTGTGCTGGTGGTTCCTTAGTATGGTTGAAAGGACTAAAAAACCTTCCACCAAAGTAAAAACCATTACGGGATAATGGGAGGTTTTGTCGACCTTGAGTGCGAGACTTGACCCTCCAGACAGACGAAAGAAGCGCAGTGAAGTGCTTTTGAAGGAGTAACTCATTATCAGTCTGTTCGGCAGCAACATTTAACAGCATTCTAATATTATCCTGCCACAGTGGAAAATTGATGAGCAAGGTTTTCCATTTCATTAATTAACTGTTGAGGACCTACAAATTTTCTTCCCAAGCTTCATCTATCATTGTGTAATAATATTCAGTAACATTTATTGGAACATTCATTAGCAAACAGGCAACATCTATGAGCTACTACAGCAGTGTGCCTATATTCAAAGCAGTATAATCACTAGAAAACTTTGAAATAGTCAGCAAAATTCTTTTACATCTTAATATAGCTTACGTTAACCGAAACAAAGAGATTGATTGAGAGGCTAAAACAATGAATTCAAATACTCTCTACTTTCTTGCGAACAAGTACTCTGGGCATGCCTTCATAATAAGCCATGTTTCCCTCAGCACCTGTAACGTAAATATTGGACCAAGAACTGACAGAGGTCCAAATTTATATTTTTATCTCAAGCACAACTAGAGAGTTCAGATTCATCATGTACCACTCCAGAGTGATTGAGATATCAGGGGCTTTCCAACATAATGGAGTTAACATGCACAATATCTCAGTTATCAATGTCAAAAAAATTAAATGACTTTTCCTCTCACTCATTTCATAATCTGCAACACTTTTTTCCAACTCTTTATTTTTAACTTTCCCTGAATGATTGAAGGATATAAGCCATTAACTAGACCAACATACCTCTGTTACTTTGAGAAGAGCCTTGCCAGAGCCCACGTTGCAGATCTTTTCATTAAAAGAAGTGTCCGGTGCAGACAGAATGTATCTTTGGATTAGTTCTCTAAACCGCTCACAACAATGAACAGGGTGGCGATATCGACCCCTATAAACCCCACCAGCAGTCATTCCATAGAGTGTTTCACTCACCAAGCTCCAGTGTGGGCCATATTCATGAACAACAGCACACAGTATGGCATCCTCCTGTGGCAACCAAAAATCAGGTGATGGAACACAATCTCTTGACCAAACATTACCCTTTTTTAATTTCTCTGGTTTTATCATCAAAACCCGCTTTACTGGCATGGCAGCAATGGAGATTTTTCCTCCTGTTTTGCTCCTGCTTGCAGGTTTCTGCTCAAGATCAACAGCGGCACTCTCACATGGTTTTACTTCTATAGAACTATCATGCAAATGATATCTTTCAGGATGAGCCTTTTTGAATTTCTTAGACTTCTTCTTTGAGCTCTTCTCCTTCTCTTCTTCATCATACAAAGCTAATTCAGCCTTCTTACGTTTTTTCTGTGCTATTGAAGGCGGTGACACCTCATCAGAATAACTGCCCTCCTCATCATATAAATCATCATCTATGGACATGGGTTCCACCATAGGCTCTTCTTTTACAGGTTTCAATTCAGAAGATAGGGCCCCTTTCTTGAGAGACTTGAACTTGGCTTTCTTCGGCTTCTTCTTGGTCTTCTTCGGTTTACGATCATGTGCCCTTTCATGTTAGCAAACAGAAAGTAAATTAGTTACAAAATTAAAAACCACTTGAGTATTCTAGAGAAATGTCTTTACAAACAAAACTTTCTACTTTTAGCCATGTTGTGTTTATCCATGTAAGAAAGTCCTTCGGTGTCCCCAAACTTGTACTCCATTTACTTAGTAAAAACTATTGCCCACTACCAGTTTCCATTTTGGTGTCCTTAGATAAAACAATATACAGAAATTATCTACCCAACTTAATTATTGATGTAGAGGGAACCAGTTTGGCATTTTACTGAACTTGACAATATTCTAAACCCACATACAGGATGTAATCAACACAATTCAAAGGTTGTCCAGTCAGATGCCTTATTTCCGTGTCAAAGAACACAGTCAGTATCCATGTTATAAATTCACCAATACATATTCCTACACTAAAATAGAGGAAAATTTGCCCTTAAGAATTTCTGCATAAAAAGTAGAAAAGACATCTTACTTAGACTCAAAGTTTCCATCTTCAGCATCTTCCTTCTCTTTAGCTTCCAATTCTTCCAATTCTTCCATCAACTTTAAACATAGAGCATAAAGTTAATCAGCTGAGTCAACCACATCCACAACATATGTAAAATAGAGTTTAATTTACTAACTTGATGTTGAGCCAAAGCTTCAACTTCTTGTCGGTATGCCTCAGTTGCTAAATCAGTATCCCATCCTGATAATAAACGACAACTCATAAGTTTGGCCTCAAAAGGCAGTGGCATCATGCACACCAAAATATCATGAATAAAAAAGTGAACAGCATGTCAAGATAATCATATCAATGCACACTTTCTATTATATTACACAACATAATGTTATTTCAATGCCATTCTAAATTCTAACATAAACCGGAATTACCATTTTAGCAAGGTACCTCTAAATGGTGATATGGAGGGGAAATATTGAAATAAAAGCAAAACTACATATTAAATTATTATATTCAATTTTAAATTTATAATGCTCAAAAAAAAAAAAAAAAAAAAAAAAAAAAGAAGTAAATATTTGACCGGAACTAAAATAAAAATTCAATTTGGTCATCAGGTCAAATAATATGTTTTGTGCTGTAGAACCCGAGGTTGTTGACTCTTAACACTCTGATATAACAAATGTAAGGTAATAACACACAAAAGTACTTACTTTCATATACAAACGGCTCCTCATCATCATCAATCTCAGCTTCCATTTCCTCCTTATACTTTTCTATACGATCTAGTTCCCATTCTGTCTCCTCAAATCTAACTTCAGATTCCACAGCTGTCTTGTCGATTATAGGATCCCACTGCTCCATAAAATTTATGGCATATCGATCAATTGGACGTAGCTGATTCTCGAAAGATGAAATAGCTTGTCCACTTGCTGCCGCTGCTGCCGCCATCTGTTTGACATCAGCCAGCATGTCAACATCATCTTCTTTCTCAGCAAAAGCAAGAGCTCCCTCCTCATTTGGATTGGTGCCTTTTAACATCATCCCATTATCATTGTTTGAAGTACTCATCAAGCCACTCTGATCAGCAGGCTCCTCAGATTTCACATTGTCTTCATTTACAAGCTCATCATCTTCAAGTCTCCCAATGGCTTCTTCCGTGAACTCTTGGTTATCAACAGCCTCTTCCTGTTCAACTCTCTTTAATGCCATGTAATCTGCTTCATCTTCTACACATTTCAAAGCAGCTTCCACTTCAGCATTAGACACAGAAACCTCAATTCCACTGTTGTTATGTTTCTCCTTCTGCATATTTTTAACGGGAAGCGTTCTATGACCAGAAAACAACTCCATAGGATCAAGCTTCTTGAAAAATTCAGTGTTGTATCCTCCACTCTGAATTACTAGATCATCAAGAGCACGTTTCTGATTTGCTTTTTTCAAGATGTTCTCTTCAATAGTGCTCTGACTAATTAACCGGTAGATATGTACTTCACGTGTCTGTCCTATCCGGTGGCAGCGATCTTGAGCTTGCTGATCCATAGCAGGATTCCAGTCACTATCATAGAAGATAACTGTATCTGCCCCAACTAGGTTGATCCCAACACCTCCACTACGGGTTGACAAAATGAAAAGAAATATTTTAGGATTTGTGTTAAACCGCTGCATTAATGTTTGCCTCTCCTCTGGTTGAGTTGATCCATCCAAACGCATGTACGTGTAACCATATAAATTTATGAAAGCCTCCAAAATATCGAGCATCTTTGTCATCTGTGTGAATATTAATGCTCGATGACCTTCAGATTTTAATTTCCTGAGCAAAATTGCAAGCTCTTGCAACTTACCACAGTCAAATTGTATCAGTCGCCTGTCTGGAAAATATACCTGCTTCCTGACAATTGCCGGTCTAATAGGAGAAAGAAGAGGCAACAAAACTTCAGAACATTTTTTCTTATAAGTTGGGTGCAGAAACACAGGAGCTCCACTTTTACTGCACCAACAAGCCGGTGCAGGGGCGCGAGCTGATGGGATTGCAAACATGAAACTTTCAACCAGATCAATCATGTTCTGAAACCGTTCAACTGGTGAGAGGACAATATCAGCAAGTTTAGAGGAGTACAAGTAGGACATACGATCAGTCTTTTGATGAAGAGCATCACAAACAGGATATTTTACAGTTAGAAGTTCCCTCAGAGTTGTTGAGTATACAGGTTTTTTCTGGCACCTCAACGAATTCCACCAAGCAATAGATGCTGCTCGGTCCTTAGCTTCCCTCAATCTCTCCTCCAATATTTTCTTCCGAATCTCTTCCAAAATATTTGTCCCATTTAACTTCTTATGTTTAGAGAATGGCCCAATTTCTTCTAGGCTACGCAGGTCAACACGCTCTTTAATCAAGGCCGGTGGGGTAGCAATAGCATTTACTTCATCACTCTCCCATGAAGTCATGCTAAAATCATGATGAGTAAACAAAAGTCCCAAACCCTTCAGGTCTACAGTAGAAAATAGACCAGGTGAAAGCATCGAACAAACAGAAGAACTCAACTGGATATCAATACCATTCATATCAAAAGAACTTACAATTGGTCGGCCCTCAAATAAGTCAGGATGGTTGCAGACTTTTCGAAGTTGCATTATGACACTAATCATCCCAAAAAAATTGGAGCTTGCAAGGGTGGCCTGGGTCTCTGAGCTAGCAATGAAGTCTTCATACAAATTACGCTGCCGCCTTGACAGTCTACAATATATGACATGCTCATGTTTCATAGGCAATTGCTTCTCAACATCCCTTTTCAATCGACGGAGTATGAATGGCCGAAGAACATTATGCAGGCGATCTACAACTTCTTTGTTCACTTTTTCTTGACCCTCTACCATCCCTGATATCGGATTACTGAACCAATCCTTGAATTCCTGATGAGACTGAAAGATGTGGGGCATTAAGAAATGCATTAATGACCAGAGTTCCATGAGATCATTCTGCAAGGGGGTACCAGTTAACAAAATACGCCTTTTAGAATTGAAGTTTAAAAGAGTTTGCCATCTTTGAGACTTCCAGTTTTTTATCAAATGAGCTTCATCCAAAATCAAGTATTTCCACTTCTTCCGCTTGAAGGCTTTAGAATCCTGTATAACAAGTCTGTAAGTTGTGATGCACACATGAAAGGAGTTAGGTTTCATCCAACCTTGCCTCTTAAATTTGCGTTCTTTTGCACTGCCAAAGTATGTCAGAATTTTAAAGGCAGGACACCATTTAAGAAACTCAGTTTCCCAGTTAAGCATGACACTAGTTGGAACCACAATCAGATGTGGACCCCATATGCCCTTTTCGCATGCCAGGTGTGCAAGCAGAGAAATAGTCATGATTGTCTTTCCCAGTCCCATTTCATCAGCTAGAATTCCATTTAATCTTTTCTCATACATGGTAACAAGCCAATCCAAGCCAATATGCTGATACTCACGAAGAGAATGCTTGAGAAGAAAAGGGAACTTTGTACGCACTTTGGTAGTAGAGAATGTAATTCCTGTTGGCTGAGCTGATCTTGCTGCCGCAGCAGCATCAGCAATTCTATCCTCATTCTCTCTTCCTTCTTCTGATTTTGTCTTTGATCCTGCTTCTTGCTCTTCCGTAAGGGGATGATGAACCGTTTGGCTTTCACCAGGATCAACATTTTCATCCATGGAATTATCCTGCTGATTTAATTCAATGTTTTCAAGGGCTGGAGAACCTGTGAGGTCCTCTGATAAAGCAGAGGCATAATCAGATTCATCCTCTGAAATTTCATCATTGTTGAATTCCTATAAAAAGATGTAAATGATACAACAAAAAATGAGTATTTGATGTGAACCACACCCAAATTAAAAGCAGAAACAATCCTGTAACATACCTTTCTATACCTTGCTAGCAATTCCTCCACTGGAATCTCACTCTCCTTTTGCAGTAATGCAATCTGACAAATAGCCACCTCATTTAGAGGAACTAAACTACAAATAAAAGCAAAAGTAGGGGAAAGAATTTACAAGTGCATATACAGAGAGAGAAACCTATTTGACGGAAGAGTCTGTAGATGGATTGTAAAGAACATGATATGTCCAGGAACACATTACCTCATCTACGTGATTGTTTGAATCTGCTTTTGCCAATTCCTCCTCCTCTGATAAGGTTGTCTCATCATCCTAAACATTTAAGCAAAAACAGGAATAAGCATAGCCACAAGAAATTAGTAATAAACAATGATAAAGCACCATTTCACTTCAGCCTTTTGCCGCCTATTTCAAGTTGGAGAAAATAAATGCAGACTAATTGCCTAGCAAAGACTCTGCTAACATGTAATTGTAACTTGTAAGCACAAAATATTACATCATGGTGAATTATAAGCTGCTACTGGAGCAGAAGGAAGATGCTTCAGAACAAACTTGAAAGCACTGTCACAGAAATACTGAACTTTAATTGAGATACATGACCTAAATTGAGGCTCACCTGGTAACATTGTGAATATCAAGAGCCCTCACATAAATATTCCTAGAATTTCACCTTGGAACCATTAATTTGATAAATTACTAAAAAGTTTACAGGTTTAAATGTAACCCTCAAAAACAAGACAATAAGGAATACTTTCTATAAATAGCAAAGAAAGAGTATTCAGTTAAGAAAACCTAATTGTCTGATTAAAATGGAGGCACATCATCAGCGAAGCTCATTAACTGATACCGCTACAACCAGAGCTTAATGGCATACAATTCATATAGCTCTAAAAAGGCTAAGTTGAGTTGAGGTTTTAGTTATAAAATTTACATACTCGCAGAAATTTATTAATCCTCACAAGACCCAAACACGTAATGATGTACTATAGCTTGTTCACTTCTTTGTAGAACTTTCTTGACTATATATAAGGTTTCTTGAGTTTCTTATCCAAAAAATTAATCATCACACCCTAAATTCTAACATAAACCGGAATTACCATTTTAGCAAGGTACCTCTAAATGGTGATATGGAGGGGAAATATTGAAATAAAAGCAAAACTACATATTAAATTATTATATTCAATTTTAAATTTATAATGCTCAAAAAAAAAAAAAAAAAAAAAAAAAAAAGAAGTAAATATTTGACCGGAACTAAAATAAAAATTCAATTTGGTCATCAGGTCAAATAATATGTTTTGTGCTGTAGAACCCGAGGTTGTTGACTCTTAACACTCTGATATAACAAATGTAAGGTAATAACACACAAAAGTACTTACTTTCATATACAAACGGCTCCTCATCATCATCAATCTCAGCTTCCATTTCCTCCTTATACTTCTCTATACGATCTAGTTCCCATTCTGTCTCCTCAAATCTAACTTCAGATTCCACAGCTGTCTTGTCGATTATAGGATCCCACTGCTCCATAAAATTTATGGCATATCGATCAATTGGACGTAGCTGATTCTCGAAAGATGAAATAGCTTGTCCACTTGCTGCCGCTGCTGCCGCCATCTGTTTGACATCAGCCAGCATGTCAACATCTTCTTCTTTCTCGGCAAAAGCAAGAGCTCTCTCCTCATTTGGATTGGTGCCTTTTAACATCATCCCATTATCATTGTTTGAAATATTCATCAAGCCACTCTGATCAGCAGGCTCCTCAGATTTCACATTGTCTTCATTTACAAGCTCATCATCTTCAAGTCTCCCAATGGCTTCTTCCGTGAACTCTTGGTTATCAACAGCCTCTTCCTGTTCAACTCTCTTTAATGCCATGTAATCTGCTTCATCTTCTACACATTTCAAAGCAGCTTCCACTTCAGCATTAGACACAGAAACCTCAATTCCACTGTTGTTATGTTTCTCCTTCTGCATATTTTTAACGGGAAGCGTTCTATGACCAGAAAACAACTCCATAGGATCAAGCTTCTTGAAAAATTCAGTGTTGTATCCTCCACTCTGAATTACTAGATCATCAAGAGCACGTTTCTGATTTGCTTTTTTCAAGATGTTCTCTTCAATAGTGCTCTGACTAATTAACCGGTAGATATGTACTTCACGTGTCTGTCCTATCCGGTGGCAGCGATCTTGAGCTTGCTGATCCATAGCAGGATTCCAGTCACTATCATAGAAGATAACTGTATCTGCCCCAACAAGGTTGATCCCAACACCTCCACTACGGGTTGACAAAATGAAAAGAAATATTTTAGGATTTGTGTTAAACCGCTGCATTAATGTTTGCCTCTCCTCTGGTTGAGTTGATCCATCCAAACGCATGTACGTGTAACCATATAAATTTATGAAAGCCTCCAAAATATCGAGCATCTTTGTCATCTGTGTGAATATTAATGCTCGATGACCTTCAGATTTTAATTTCCTGAGCAAAATTGCAAGCTCTTGCAACTTACCACAGTCAAATTGTATCAGTCGCCTGTCTGGAAAATATACCTGCTTCCTGACAATTGCCGGTCTAATAGGAGAAAGAAGAGGCAACAAAACTTCAGAACATTTTTTCTTATAAGTTGGGTGCAGAAACACAGGAGCTCCACTTTTACTGCACCAACAAGCCGGTGCAGGGGCGCGAGCTGATGGGATTGCAAACATGAAACTTTCAACCAGATCAATCATGTTCTGAAACCGTTCAACTGGTGAGAGGACAATATCAGCAAGTTTAGAGGAGTACAAGTAGGACATACGATCAGTCTTTTGATGAAGAGCATCACAAACAGGATATTTTACAGTTAGAAGTTCCCTCAGAGTTGTTGAGTATACAGGTTTTTTCTGGCACCTCAACGAATTCCACCAAGCAATAGATGCTGCTCGGTCCTTAGCTTCCCTCAATCTCTCCTCCAATATTTTCTTCCGAATCTCTTCCAAAATATTTGTCCCATTTAACTTCTTATGTTTAGAGAATGGCCCAATTTCTTCTAGGCTACGCAGGTCAACACGCTCTTTAATCAAGGCCGGTGGGGTAGCAATAGCATTTACTTCATCACTCTCCCATGAAGTCATGCTAAAATCATGATGAGTAAACAAAAGTCCCAAACCCTTCAGGTCTACAGTAGAAAATAGACCAGGTGAAAGCATCGAACAAACAGAAGAACTCAACTGGATATCAATACCATTCATATCAAAAGAACTTACAATTGGTCGGCCCTCAAATAAGTCAGGATGGTTGCAGACTTTTCGAAGTTGCATTATGACACTAATCATCCCAAAAAAATTGGAGCTTGCAAGGGTGGCCTGGGTCTCTGAGCTAGCAATGAAGTCTTCATACAAATTACGCTGCCGCCTTGACAGTCTACAATATATGACATGCTCATGTTTCATAGGCAATTGCTTCTCAACATCCCTTTTCAATCGACGGAGTATGAATGGCCGAAGAACATTATGCAGGCGATCTACAACTTCTTTGTTCACTTTTTCTTGACCCTCTACCATCCCTGATATCGGATTACTGAACCAATCCTTGAATTCCTGATGAGACTGAAAGATGTGGGGCATTAAGAAATGCATTAATGACCAGAGTTCCATGAGATCATTCTGCAAGGGGGTACCAGTTAACAAAATACGCCTTTTAGAATTGAAGTTTAAAAGAGTTTGCCATCTTTGAGACTTCCAGTTTTTTATCAAATGAGCTTCATCCAAAATCAAGTATTTCCACTTCTTCCGCTTGAAGGCTTTAGAATCCTGTATAACAAGTCTGTAAGTTGTGATGCACACATGAAAGGAGTTAGGTTTCATCCAACCTTGCCTCTTAAATTTGCGTTCTTTTGCACTGCCAAAGTATGTCAGAATTTTAAAGGCAGGACACCATTTAAGAAACTCAGTTTCCCAGTTAAGCATGACACTAGTTGGAACCACAATCAGATGTGGACCCCATATGCCCTTTTCGCATGCCAGGTGTGCAAGCAGAGAAATAGTCATGATTGTCTTTCCCAGTCCCATTTCATCAGCTAGAATTCCATTTAATCTTTTCTCATACATGGTAACAAGCCAATCCAAGCCAATATGCTGATACTCACGAAGAGAATGCTTGAGAAGAAAAGGGAACTTTGTACGCACTTTGGTAGTAGAGAATGTAATTCCTGTTGGCTGAGCTGATCTTGCTGCCGCAGCAGCATCAGCAATTCTATCCTCATTCTCTCTTCCTTCTTCTGATTTTGTCTTTGATCCTGCTTCTTGCTCTTCCGTAAGGGGATGATGAACCGTTTGGCTTTCACCAGGATCAACATTTTCATCCATGGAATTATCCTGCTGATTTAATTCAATGTTTTCAAGGGCTGGAGAACCTGTGAGGTCCTCTGATAAAGCAGAGGCATAATCAGATTCATCCTCTGAAATTTCATCATTGTTGAATTCCTATAAAAAGATGTAAATGATACAACAAAAAATGAGTATTTGATGTGAACCACACCCAAATTAAAAGCAGAAACAATCCTGTAACATACCTTTCTATACCTTGCTAGCAATTCCTCCACTGGAATCTCACTCTCCTTTTGCAGTAATGCAATCTGACAAATAGCCACCTCATTTAGAGGAACTAAACTACAAATAAAAGCAAAAGTAGGGGAAAGAATTTACAAGTGCATATACAGAGAGAGAAACCTATTTGACGGAAGAGTCTGTAGATGGATTGTAAAGAACATGATATGTCCAGGAACACATTACCTCATCTACGTGATTGTTTGAATCTGCTTTTGCCAATTCCTCCTCCTCTGATAAGGTTGTCTCATCATCCTAAACATTTAAGCAAAAACAGTAATAAGCATAGCCACAAGAAATTAGTAATAAACAATGATAAAGCACCATTTCACTTCAGCATTTTGCCGCCTATTTCTAGTTGGAGAAAATAAATGCAGACTAATTGCCTAGCAAAGACTCTGCTAACATGTAATTGTAACTTGTAAGCACAAAATATTACATCATGGTGAATTATAAGCTGCTACTGGAGCAGAAGGAAGATGCTTCAGAACAAACTTGAAAGCACTGTCACAGAAATACTGAACTTTAATTGAGATACATGACCTAAATTGAGGCTCACCTGGTAACATTGTGAATATCAAGAGCCCTCACATAAATATTCCTAGAATTTCACCTTGGAACCATTAATTTGATAAATTACTAAAAAGTTTACAGGTTTAAATGTAACCCTCAAAAACAAGACAATAAGGAATACTTTCTATAAATAGCAAAGAAAGAGTATTCAGTTAAGAAAACCTAATTGTCTGATTAAAATGGAGGCATATCATCAGCGAAGCTCATTAACTGATACCGCTACAACCAGAGCTTAATGGCATGCAATTCATGTAGCTGTAAAAAGGCTCAGTTGAGTTGAGGTTTTAGTTATATAATTTACATACTCGCAGAAATTTATTAATCCTCACAAGACCCAAACACGTAATGATGTACTATAGCTTGTTCACTTCTTTGTAAAACTTTCTTGACTCTATATAAGGTTTCTTGAGTTTCTTATCCAAAAAATTAATCATCACAAAGCAAGTCAGTAGGTAAATGAAAAACCACTTACAATAATATAATATACCGTAAAAATCTAAAGAAGTTGCCTTCTCTAAAACAGAGTAACTGAAAATGGCACTAATACAAGGCAATAAGAAAGCAAACATACCACCGCAATACATACCTTGTCTTCTCCAGTAGCAAGAACAAAATCACCATCTTCCTAAATAAGTTGAGACAAGTTAGCGGAGTATCTAACAAATTTTTTACACTGTAATCATAATACATAAGAACAACAATAATAATAGAAATGAAACACAACACTAATTCTGAGTATCTAACAATTTTTTTACACTGTAATCATAATAACATAAGAACAACAATAATAATAGAAATGAAACACAACACTAAGTGTTATCACATAGATCACAACTTCTCAATGCCATTGTCATCATATTAGTTAAACACATGCCAGATGCACAAAGAGCTGCAGCACGAAGTATTAAGGCAACGAGGACCATTTGCTTTCAGATACGTTGGTCAATATTCCCTTGTAAAATCTTCTTAGGAAAAGAAAATAATACAAAAATAGAGAGATAAGATATTTAGAAACTTAAAGATTCACCTGTTCATCAGTAAAATCGTAAATCACATGCTTTTGGGCAGAGACCCCAGAGTTATCTGATGAATTTTTCAATTTAGAAGTCTCAATATCTGACAAATGGTTTTCTGATATGGACAAGCCACCATTACTTTCATCCTGTAATCAGATAATAAATATCATCTTGAGTCCTGAACTTGCTTTGCAAGCCAACAACAGCAACCATAAACACATACAACTTACACAACGACGAACAAGATAGCTGCTTGAGTCAGTCTTACTTTCAGAAGGATCATTTCCACTGCCTGCAAAAGATGTAAGCCTCCAACATTTCAGGTGCATACACGTACCTCACCCAAATAATTTAAATCTTTAGCAGGTTCTTACCCTTGTCATGATCTTCTTCCACCGTAGTTGGCTTAGCTTCATCTACACACATCTCAGAACTACTATCTCTGCTAACTGAAAACAATTATGTTGATAAAATTACTTACAAGATACGGCTAAGAGATAAAGGAAATCCAACTTGCTATCAAAACAAAATAAGCATAACTTTAAGGGAGGGACAAACGAGCCATTCCAAGCCAAAAAAAAAAAAAAAAGGTAGAATCGTAACAGTATTCACCTTTATCCATGGCATAACGTTTAAGCAACTCCTCAAGCGGAATATCTGTTTCATTTTGTAAGGCTTCCAACTCTTCTTTCCTTTCTTCTTTAGTTATAAGAGCCTCGTCTTCCTCAATAGTGTGCTCATCATCTTCCTAAAACAACATCAGAGAACATAATTTTTTTTTTGGCTAGGAGAAGAGATTGAAATTGTAGCTTTAAACTTTGCAACCTTAGGTCTAAAGGGTTTGAGTCAATCTCGGAAAAAACTGCCTAACTATCAGCAAAATGGTTGTGTCATTCTTGAAATCTTAAATGATCATACATCTTCCCATCAACTATTTAATCCATCGACATTTCTCAATTAAAAGGAATTGTTTCCCAGAAAAAAGTATGCCCATCTTCAGATCCTCATGAAAAAAGGCTACATCATGTCAATTCAGTCATATCTTTCTTTCAAAACAACATTTCCATATTGTATTATGAAGTTCTTTAAAAATTTAGAAGCAGAAAAAAATTCAAGAGAGCATCCACCTATATCTGACAAATTATGTGGACATAAAAGCAAAATAAAACAAACTTGCAAATTCAATATCTGGGTTCATGGAAATAAACAAGGAAAATCCATGGCAGAGGCAGAGACTTTTTACGCCAATTATGCATATTGTATTCCTAGATTACTAGGTAAAGGTCAATAACTTATGCAACAGCAGAAAAATACTTAAAAGTAACACCAAAGAGAGAAAGAAAAGTAGAACGCACTGATTCATCTTCAGATTGCACATCAAAATCTTCGTCAACGTCTGCAACATCAGACACAGGCTCTGTAAAAATGTGTTAGGAAGAAATTGTAAAAGAGATAACACGCAATTTTTGCAAGTTAACCAATTAATATTGATTAATTACAGAATTATCCTTACCAACATTAAATTCTGAGATTTCTTCAGCATTGTTTTCATCTGCTTCCTTATATTGAATACTCAGATGTTCCTGCACAGCAGATTGTTGCACTGGTTTGTGCGAGTCCACTAGATTTTCTGCTAACATTGTTGAGTACCTAAAAGAACACAAAACTCAGTGCAGTTTCCTTAAACAGACGTTACCTATTCCAAGAATATGTACCTAATCTGGATGCAAGACAAATACGTATATCCAATTTTTTTGAGGAAACGTTCTACCTCTCAGTTTGCCCTAAAAGAAACTCAAGTTGTTTATCAAGCGCTTTTTTCTTTATCTCATCAAGCTCCATCTGATGCTTGTAAAGCACCTAGAATTATAAGGTCTCAGGGAGATCAGAAAAGAGAAATCATATATTTAAAAGTAAATCATCTTATATAGGAGAACTTACCAGCTTCTCGATCTTTATCCAGAATTTCTTCACATCCTTCGAAATGTTGAGAGCAACTTTCCGCAACCGTTGCTCTTCTTCCTAATCATAATAGTAAAGCTAAATTTAACAACATTCAGAGTTAAACAAAAATAACTTGAAGAAAACAAATCTAGCTTTCCCTGATCTACCAGTACTAAACATCAATCTTTCTTTCAAGAGTAAAAACATCATTCTTTTTGTTAGGAGTACAAAAAATACTCCTTACAATGAGAAAGATTCATGTCCTCCATTTGGTAATTTGACGGAAAAAAATTTCAAATTCAAGAAGGAAAAAGGCAGAACCTTCAATTTCTTTTCTCCTCTGGAGGCCTGATCCACCATGCCCTTGCTTGCTTTCAAGGCCACCTTCTTTGCCTGAGCCAATTTCCATTTTCTCTCAGACTCAAAGTCCTGCATATAAATATTTCATTTTACCATTGAAAGAATATATATATATATATACACATATCAAATGACATGGAGCACATTATCAGAAAGCAAAATTAAAAATATTGTATGTCGAAAAAGACCAATCTTAAAAGTATAATAGTCACCTTGGATAACCAGACCATTTCTTCTAGAACATGATCCCAGTGAGTTTTAGGGCGACGAGGTTCCCTGGGCGCTTCAAGTGCCTAAAACCGAGTTACCATGAAAGAATCAATTGTTGAGGAGCATGAAATGGTAACTCTCCTTTTTATTGATAAAACAGTATAGCATCATAAGCATCATCACAATTTTTTTTTGGGGGGAACTTATCTCAAGGAAACAGTTGATATATGGAACTTAAAATTAGATGCCTACTGATTGAACCAAAAAGAGTGTCAATCCTATATATATATAAAAAAAAAAAAAAAAAAAGGTTCTTCAAAAAGCTCCTTCAACAAGTGAATACATACACCCTAAGATATAGAAATCATATTCCTTCACATGATATACTCATCCATGATGGACTATAAAATATATACCCAGAACACATAAAGTAAGGGCATCACTAGGATCAACAAATACCGGCAAAAATACTATTTTCTATTCACATAAAAATCATCAAAGGAAGCACAGATGGATCATAAGCAGTAAAATTGAAGATACTAACCTTTTGGCGCCTAGCTCTTGTCTCATGATCAAGCTTAGACCTGGGACCTTTTGACGCCATTATTTTCTTGTGATCCTTATATCATGATGGAAAAAAGGAATCTGCACATAATCAAATGATTTTTTTCAATGAAAAGGACAGAGAACAAAAGAGGAAGAAAACATTGACATTAATACAGCCTAGGGTTCCAATTGTCTCTGAACTTTGGAGAACCTAAAGTATGGAAGATAACAACCCATAAAGCTGAAATAAACGTCAGAAGTTGCCGCATGTTTTCATATTCATCAGCAAATTCATTGAATATACAACCACTTGCACCTACAGAAGACCTATCAGGTACTCTCATCATCTTTACATAAAATCATCAATGATGGTGGGTGGTTCATGTAAATTTGCCATATGCAGGTTTTTTAGTCTGATAAAAAGCTGTGGCCTTGGAGTCAACAGCGCACTTAGCACAAATATTTTACATAATTGGCAGAATTCATGCTAGAAAACACTCTGCCTAAAGAAAAACTGGACTTTCCTACAGCACACTAGAAGTCTTTGTTTTCATATTCATCAGCAAATTCATAGAATATACAACCAGTTGCACCAGCAGAAAACCTATCTGGTACTCTAGTCATCTTTATACAAAATCATCAATGATGGTGGGTGGATTATGTAAATTTGCAATATGCAGGTTTTTAGTCTCATAAAAACTCTGGTCTTGGAGTCGAACACATACCTAGCATAAATACTTAACATATTTAGAAGAATTCATGTCAGAGAAGACTCTGCCTATAGGAAAACTGCTAAAGCACAATAGAAGCATCTTGAAAATATAAGCTGTAAGCACCTCTTACAATACTTTTCATGACAATAACCACAAAATACAGTTTTCCATTTATAAATCACGACAAATTTACAAAGTTATATAAGTTTTCTTGAAATTATTATTGAAATATATTAAAACAAAACAAATTTTTTTATTTTTGTTTCAACGCTGAAAAAAAAAAATTCAGGATATTTAGCGAAGACATTGAATCTTATAAGAAAGAGCTCATTTTCTAAAATTACCATGGGCATCGGTTTCTTAAGATTTTATTGAGATTCCTTTGTTTTTCATCCATCTTAATTGGGAGGGTACTGCCACTTCACTTTCATTTATACAGAACGTTCTTTTAATAAAGACTGTTTCTAGTTTTTTGTAAAGGCTTCTCTTTATTATGTTCTCTGTGGACCTCTAGTTCACTTCCTATTGTCAAGCTCTATTTTCTTAGTGCAGTTTTGTTTGTTATCAGGGGGAAGAAAACAGCACTTATTTCAATTTATTGAAGGCAAGAAGGCACCAAGAAAATTGGCTCCCAACCCATAACATGCTCAACCTGGAAGAGGACTTCATTTAAGAAAACATTCAATACATATACTGGAAATTCTGTAAATATTTTATCTAACTACTAGACCTTTTTTTTCACGCAGCCTATCAGTACATCAAACGTTATCTTTTGTTAAAATTATGATCCGTCTGCTGTCTTTTTTTTTTTTTTAATTGGAGAGCAGAGTTCAGCTTTACAAGCCCCCAAATGTCAAATGAGATTTAAGGAACTCAGATGGCCCCCTCTTTTTGCCGCTGCACAGACTTGAAAGGATACTTTTTAGAGTTAAATAAACCTCATTCAAAACCCAATATGTAGGGTTCTTACTATGGCTTCAGCCAGCAAATAAGTAGCCCTTAAATTAGCCACTCAGGTGCTAGCTTTAAACACCCAATGCCTCAACCAAGGAAACTTGGAAAGCAACTGGCTGTTGTTGCCTCAAACAGACCCTTCTTTTAGGGCACTTTGAGACTGTTTGGTGAGATGCATATGGCCTAATGTTATTCCACACTGGACTTACCATTTCAGCTTTAGAGGCACTGCTTGAGCCCCTCACTTAAACTAGTACCCGTCAAAATTATTCTAATATCAGTTCTACAAAAATCACAAGCAAAACTTAAGGTGTAGACGTATGAGATGATTTCTAGTCAAGATTTTTACTTCGCAAAGACAGAGTAAGAAATAGATCTAGATTCTATGCATGACTGCATCCTTCACAGTCCGCTCATTATCACTTTACTTTGCCCCTAGAATTAAGTAACAAATCAACATTTCCCCAATTACCACCATTCTGCTGAAAAATCATTTATTTTGTAATGTTCATATCAAATTTGTCCTCAACCTATCCAGCTAGAGCACTTTGTCTTTAATTGCCATCTTCAGGCCATATCATAATGTTGGAGCCAAATACGGAGATCTTACACCAGAAGGTTTACTATCATCTTTCCTAAACAAAGTTAATATCGCTGTTAAATTTAATTTATCAAATGACCCAAAATTAGTTATAATTCCACTAGCATACAGTAAATCCTCTATATGCCGTACTAAAATGCCTAGAAATTGATTACTATGTATCTTTAAACATAAACCCACTAGAAAAGGGAACCACATACTAAAAGTCATGAAATAGAAGCTAATACATTCAAAATCAGCTAAATTTTTAGCAAGCTTAATGTAGCTTCATGCATAAAAATCCACATTCTACGTTTGGTTGTTTCTGAAGCTATTTCGACCCAATCAATAGCAAAATAGCTTGCACTTTAGATATCACTTGCTAATTTCTTTAGCACCTAGCAAACTCAACCTAAAAACTAAAGCCTCACCAAACCCTACAATCTTCAAGAATCAAGACAACACGTCTCTAACAATTCAAAATAACCCCTGAGGGTTTATCATTAGCTAACAACTTACCATTAGAAAAAGAGAAAACCCAAAGCAGTCAAGTTTGTTCTGCTTGCATGCCAAAAACACTTCCGTTTCTTTTAAAAGCAGAAACTCTCCTAATTTTCATCTCTCAAAACCAAAAAAACTACTTCCATAACAATAAATGAAAACAAAACCAAACTAAATTCATTCATAAAATTAAAAACACATAAAATAATCCCTTTCTCTTCTCCTAAAACCTAATATTTCACCTAGCATTTCTTAGACTCAACTCCACCAACCAAAACAGCGCCGTTTAAGCACCAAAAACAAACATCACTCAACATAAACAAACACAACATGCAACTTTTCATCTATTTTCCCTCACTTTCTCCCCCTTTCTGACAAACCAAACAAAAAAAACCACAAAAACCCGAAAACTAACCCGAAAAAACACCAACTCCTGCCTTCCCCTTCTCAATCCTCGAACGGCCGTCCGATCGTCGACGTGGAAATGCGAAACGAACCAGCCGCCCCGCCTCGGCGACAAAGATGGAGACCTACGGCGTAGTTTACGGTGGTTTAAGGGTTTTTCGGTCGGGTTTTGGAAAACGGGTAAGGGTCCGACGAGCGAAACTCAGATCCGAAAAACGAACGAGCGAACGAACGAAACAAGTGTGAGTTAAAGTTTCTTGTGTTTGGGGCCCTTCCTTTGGTTGTCTTGTACCTGTTTTGGGTTTGGATATGACTTGATCTAACGGATGTGATGGAGTGTGAAGGATTTGACGGCTGAGATTTCTCCGTCAAATCTGGGTGTATCTGCGCGCTTCCATTTCGCAATTTAATTATCTTTTTTGTACGGACTTTATATTAAAATAAAAAAATATTAACCGACCCTGAGGTTTGATTTTATGACAATTATCCCCTTAATGTTTCTGATATAACAGCAATTCCCCTCCCGTTAGGGAACCCTAAAGCAACCCACCACCATGGCCCCCACTTAGAGCAACAACCCACCGCCACTTAAATTAGATATACTCAAATGGGGAATCGAACATGAGACCGTATACTTGTCCACGTTATCCTCAATTCATCTTAACCATTAGGCTATCCACGGGTGAGTTTCGATATTGGGAAATTCAGTTATATCAAAAACCTTAAAGAAATTTGTTATTTAACAAAAATAAATAGGATTACTGCAACTAGGGGTGTTTAAAAGCGGTTAACCGAATCGGTTAACAACTTTCTTGAACCGAACCGATTTGAGGGGAAAATTAGTTTTTCGGTTAACCGATTAACCGCTTTGAAAAAACCGGTTAATCGGTCTTGAACCGGTTTTCCCATTTCTATTGGATAAAACTTTTTTTTTTTCCTAAATTAAATTGTAAACATCTACAATACATATCCAAATAAAAATTAAACATTCATACATATTAATTGACCACAACTAATAATACATTAAAAATTGATACAAATAAAATTCCGAAATTAAACAAAAATGAAAGTTCGTAATGAAACATCCATAATAAAACAACTAAATAACTAAATAAGTCTCAATGAAAAACAACAAAAGAAATTGTGCAAATTTAGGGATTAAGATTATTATTATTATTATATGTAAACCGGTTTCAGTTAATCGGTTTTCATTTTTATTCAAACCTAAAATCTGGTTTTTTGAATTCTTTGAACCGTAACCGAACCATTTTTTCGGTTCGGTTAGCGGTTTGATTTGATTTTTGCATTTTTTTGAACACCATAACTGCAATTCTTAATAATTATAAAAAAAAAAAAAAAAAANCAAATATACTTTAAATTAAAAGAAAAATAAATTGTAGGGTCGACCACAATGGATTATTTAAATGGGGATGTTTTGAAAAGTGCTAAAACCAAGATTGCTATTGCCGTATTTTTCAAAACGTATTATTGACAATGTGTCGTATTAAACCCGTATATATCCGAATCGTATTTTTTCCGTATCTGAATTTTATGACCGAATTTTTACAAACGTATTTTTCACCATTTGCCGTATCATACTCGTAAAATTCCCGTACCGTTTTTTTGCCGTACTCGTATTTACTAACTAGGTCCATGGGTGAGTTTCGATATTGGGAAATTCAGTTATATCAAAAACCTCAACGAAATTTGTTATTTAACAAAAATTAATAGGATTACTGCAACTAGGGTGTTTAAAAGCGATTAACCGAGTCGATTAACAGCTTTCTTGAACCGAATCGGTTTGGGGGGAAAACCAGTTTTTCGGTTAATCGAAAAACCGATTAATCGCTTTGAAAAAACCGGTTAATCGGTCTTGAACCAGTTTTCCCCTTTTTATTAGATAAAGCTTTTTTTTTTTAATTTTTCCAAAATTAAATTGTAAACACCAACAATACATATCCAAATAAAAATCAAACATTCATATCCAAATAAAAATCAAACACTCATATATATCCATTGACCACAATTAACAATACATTAAAAATTGATACAAATAAAATTCCAAAATTAAACAAAAATGAAAGTCCGTGATGAAACGTCCATAATAAAACAACAAAGTAACTAAATAAGTCCTAATGGAAAATAACAAAAGAAATTGTGCAAATTTAGATATTAATATTATTATTATTATTACTATATATAAACCGATTCAAAAAACTGGTTTCGGTTAACCGGTTTTCATTTTTACTCGAACCTAAAATCCGGTTTTTTAAATTTTTTGAACCGTAACCGAACCATTTTTTCGGTTCGGTTAGCTGTTCGATTCGATTTTTGCACTTTTTTTAACACCCCTAAATGCAACTCTTAATAATTATAAAAAAAAAAAAAAAAATATATATATATATATATATATGAAAAATTCACATATTTATTTTAAATTTTTTATTTAATTAGATAAAATAATGGTACTTTAAAAACCAGTATTTTGTTCCATGCAATTTTTTTTTATTAAAGTACAATACAAAATAATTATGTGCAAATAATAAAAATATTTTATAGTAATAAAAATATTATTACACTTTACACATAAAATTCATTATTATTGTACCAAAATATTGTTTTATCCGATATTGTGGTAATAATTTAGGAATTATATAATCATAAAGTATAAATCACTTTAAAATTATATGGTATGGTCAATAATGTAGTTGTTATACTTAAAAAATCAGGGTTGACATAAGCATACATCAGCGAGCACCAATCAGAGTTCAAGAAGGCTTTGCATCACCCAGAATCAGCCACGTCACCCCAAGACAAAAAGAATATGAATGTTACCAACCCAACAGACTCAAGTTTTGTCTGTAAATGAATGTGGTATGCACACCTGTCCAAGTCCCACATAATTTAAGGATATTTCCTAAGTTATCAACTAATGGAACACAAGGAAGAACTTGCACGACACTTACACACTTGCAGACTTATAATCATTATCTTGAGCTCAACGGCTATAAATAGAGGACTCCCCCTCACAAAATTGGGATGAATGAAATGATCAGAGTCTCTAAATTCAACACACAAATAGCAAAGACAACCTACAAGAAAGAGACTGGCTTGATATTCTCTCTGAATATCAAGCTATTCGTGTTCGTGACCTCTTGTAACTTGGCTAATCACCAAGAATTCTCATACAAAAGAAAACAGTGGATGTAGGAATTGTTTTAAGTATTCAAACCACTATAAAAATTCTCATTGTCTCATTTATTATTCAGCATTTGCATACAATTGTGACCTTAACCCAAATCTCATAATTAGTCACATGTAATTTCTAAGACCCTCTTAGCATTTTGCACGTGCGAGGTCGTTGGTGTCAAAATCATGCATCAATACTTTGGCGCTAGAAGAAGGGCTAGATTTCACACCAGCTCTCTATCCGGTATTCTCAACTGATAATTCAGTTTCACCTTCAAGGGTTAACCACAAAACTCATGGCTCATAGTCTTGAAACTGAGAGTACTAGCACCAATAACGAGGAGACTCCCCGCAATCATGAGACTACTCCTCCCAAAGTAGCCCCACCTCCTTAGAGTACTATGGGAGATATTCCCTTGACTTCCCAAGTAGATCTTGCTTTGATCAGCTACTTGGAGAAGTTTGACAACACCCTCCAAACGATGAGCTAGAGGCTAGATCATTTGGACCAGGTTGTGTTGCCAAATTCTAACAAGGCAGTACCACCTCCAAATAATCTTGTAGGTCATGCTAAAGTGTGGAAACGAGCAAAAGCTCATACCACGAGCACTACAGCGTGTAAAGAGAAGGGAAAACAGGTGGCTGAACATAGGCAAAAATGCTCAAAAGGGCAAGCGAATATTGGTCGCGAGAAAGGGAAGAAACCTATGTCTCAGTGACTCAACAGTATGTCACACCAAGAGCCAACCCATGCCACATCATAAGGGCATCCCCACAAGAGTGCTCGATAGGGAGTTCCCACTATCGTCGGAATGATGGTCCCAACCATCACCGCGAGGGAAGTACACACCATCAACGGGTTGGTTTTGACCATCGTAGAGGTAAGAAAAACTCCCCAAGCCATTCAGTGTCTTCACAAGGCTCCGACCAACAAGCGTCAAGGCATGTCGAAGGCTAGGGCTACAAATGAACTGAACACAAACGAACACCTAGGGGTGTTCAAAAGCGGTTAACTATTTTTCTAAACCGAACCGGTTTTTCGGTTCGGGAAAATTTTTGAACCGAAACCGAACTGATTTAGAGGGAAAACTGGTTTTTCGATTAACCAAAAAACCAGTTAACCACTTTAAAAAAAAGCGGTTAACCGGTTTTCCCTTTTTTTTTTTTTTTATAAAACTTTTTTTTTTTAATTTTTTCCTAAATTAAATTGTAAATATAAACAATACATATCCAAATAAAAATTAAACATTCATACATATCTATTGAACACTACTAACAATACATTAAAACTTGATACAAATAAAAGTCCGCAATGAAACTATTTTTTTATTTAATATATAATATATATATTTTTTATTTAATATATAATAATATATATATTTGTAAAACCAGTTTCGGTTAAACGTTTTTTATTTTTTCCCGAACTGAAAATTTGGTTTTTTGAATTTTTCGAACTGTAACCTAACCGTTTTTTGGTTCAGTTATCGGTTTGGTTCGGTTTTAGCATTTTTTTGAACACCCCTGTTCGAAAATCGTTCGATAAGCACAAAGGGTTGTTCGAAATCGTGTTCGAACTCGAACAAACATAGAATGGTTGTTCAAGTTTGTTCGATTAACAAAACAAGTTATTCGTGATTATTCGATTAATCGTTCGAATAACTTGTAAGTACATGTTCGCATAACTCGTTCGAATAAAAAATATACACCAAATTTGGGCTGGGCCAGGTTAGTTTGTTGGTTATTGGCTTTTTATTATATATATATAAGCGTAATTGTGTATATACAAAATTATTATCTTACATAGATTAATCATAGATTAATTATGTTTAATATGTTATTAAATTATCAAAGTTATAGGTTATCATATATATATTATTATTACAAAAATTATCATAAATATTTTAAATATCTACATATATATTTTGTATCAACACCCACAAATTCATAATGGTATGGGAGTCTACTGTAATATATGATCAATAAAAATGTGTGATTAGTTTTGTTATATATATATATAATTGTGTATATATAAAATTATTATCATACATAGATTAATCA